GATGGCAGAGGCACGTTCGCGTGAGATTTCTTCAGGCGTCTTGGTACCTTTTGCAGCGCTTTCTGCAGCCTTTTCTTCAATGGAGCGAAGCCGTTTAGAAAAGGTGCTTTCGGCATCGTAGAACTCATCATCGTCTGAATCGCTGTCGGAATCAGAGTCGGAGCTATCTGACGAGAGCGAGGATGCGTCCGAATCAGAGTCCGAGTCCTCTACACACTTTTCCTTGCCCTTTCCCTTTTCCCTCTGCGGAGCCACGTAATCTGTTTGAATCTTGTGATCGCCAGGTACGACGATACCAGTCTCTTGACCAGACGGAGGTTGATATGATGGCGGTAGATCATCGCGTGGCTGTCCGTAGGTGGCAGGCCTGGGAATGCCCTGCTGTCGGGAGTTGCTGCCGCTCGCAGTTCGTCCAATATCCGTACCCAATCTGCTTGCACGCTGACCAAATTGCATGCCCAAATCGCCCATCATCTTGCCAAACTCCTCGCCAATCTTTCCAATCTCTTTGCCTACTTCTGCCCATTCTTTGCCAATGGAGTAGTCTCCTTGTCGTGATGGCCCCGCGGCACCACAGTATCCACGACCGCGCCTGAAACGCGGCCCATTTCCAGCAGCGTCAAAAGTTCCTCGACCCGAACGCCCAAAGGGTGCATTACCAAAGCCACCGAGCGGTGTGTTGCCAAATGGTCCAAATGGTCCACGCCCTGGTGCGCCAAACGGCGACCAATTTCCTGCAGGGCCGCCAGGTTGCTGGCCGTGTCCGTAGTGAGCTTCTTCCGATGTTGTCGGAACTGAATGTGGTGGATCATCTTGTGTATTTATGAGAGCTGTTTGACGGGAGAAGCGCTCGCCCATCTCGTGCAGCCTGTACATATGCTCACTTGGCGACGGCAGCTTCTCGGTATTGAGCGGCTCGATCCATGGAGTCAATCTTTGCGCGCGTATAGCAGCAGATCTAGGCTCTTCTAAGAGACGGCTAGCAACTGCAGCCCGCTGCCCTGGTCCTGAAGGAATAGGCAGAGTTGCAAGAATCGCTGCTTCACTGCGGAACGACACTCTCAAGCCCCGTGGAGCAAAAAACGCCTCATTGGCTCCTCTGATATACTGACTGACAAGGCTTGAAGATTCGTTTCCGTGTGTTGACTCACGTAGTAGATCAGCGGCTGTTGTGTTGGTCGATCTGAGCAGGACATTGAGACCACGCAGGAAGTTCAAGAATTGGTTTGGATCAACCCCATGTCCATGCAGTGTCTGGGTGTATGCGCACAAGAACTGCTCGTGCTCCCCCAAAGGTCTATCGGAACCTCCCTCGCCAGGGATGGCAATGATCCTATTTAGATGTGGCGCATAGCGTGCAGCGGGATCGGGTTGGTGGCGAGTAAACTCCAAAGCCTGGGTAAGCATAGCAGAAGCCAAGTCGTTGGGAGTCTGAGGTGAACGGAACTCGCTGCCCATGCGCCCAACTGGAATGTTCTCTGTGGAGCTGACCTGCTGGACGGGAACACTGGTGGCCTTGTCGCCCCTATGGTTTGCATAGTCTGGAGCATGTTCCTGTTCACTTGCGGGGTCCGTCTGCTCTCCTCTGATTCTATACTCCCAAATCTCAGGCTCATTGGGACCTTCGTTACGGGTAATGCGATGGGCTTCGATTTGGTTTGGATCTACAGGGGCAATGCCGTTGCGTGCATCGTGAAAAGCCTGATGCCTCGCGTCATCGTAAGATGGCGGCAAGTCATCATATTGGGGGCCTCCCGGGCTATGTGTAGGCGTGGGATCAAATTCATTATCTGAAGAATCGGCAACAGATGTAGCGCTTGGGGTGAATACCACGTTCGACTGGGACGATACGGATGGAGGGGATGGGTGTGATGTCAAGTTTGGATCGGCGTGGTATGAAGGGGGCCCAGCCATGATGAGTTATGTGATGATGTTTGCAGGAGCAAATTTGAGAAGGATGGAGACCGGGAATGATGAAGCTGGCCCTATACGTCTAATATGCTTGGTGTTGGTAGGACATGCACAGCCATCAAACTGCTGCCTTGAGATGAGGGAACCGTCCAATCGCAACGTGGAAATAGACTCTGATACCGGGCCGAGCAGTCAATTAGCCAGACAAAGCAATTTGATTTGTTGGGAAGATGGTGTCAACACGAGGCCGCAAAAGCACATGCGCAGCAGCATCGCTTGCACTCGTGTTCATACTACTAAGTAGGTGGGCTGTGAAGCGGGGCAGAGCGCCACACCGCGCAGTAATGCGTCCAGGTGGCGGTGTAGCCAGAACTCTGGTCGAACCCACAGCATGGGCACCGATTGCGATCACGGCGGGCCGTTGGACAGTGCACGCACACGTACGGCACACGTGCGTATAATAGTACCGAAAGTTGAAAATTACTTTTCTGTGCGAGCGAGTGAGAAGCCAGAACATAGGCAGTACGGGATCGTACCGGTCTTCTACTAAAACCTGGTAATGCAATGCCACGGTGTATGACCCCACTCGCGGTGTCCAAGATAGCATCACGACATCGATACTCCCAGAATGTTACTTTGCAAACCTTTGCTTATTCGATTCTTCGCGTCAAACCCACCATATGCGTGCTGCATCCTGCGCATATTACCAGTGGTGAAACGCAACCGAAGCAAGCGTAAAGAAACCAAAATAACGGCAGTAAGCTGTATATACTACCTACATCTCGCTGAAACACTAGCAATATGGAGAAAAGTGGCTCAGTTGCCGTCATAGGACTAGGTGAGATGGTATCCCGCGGATGGTACCAAGAATCCTACACCTACTAACTCAGCTGCATAGGACCCGCGGGCCTTGTGGCGTTGAAGAATCTCAAGGAGGAAGGGTTCGAAGTTGTCGGATTCGATCGGAATAGCTACATCGGAGGGCTATGGCAGTATTCGACAGAGGAGCAGACGTCGGTCATGGAGACCACTATGGTCAACTTTTCCAAGGAGCGCATGTGCTTCACGGACTTTCCGTTTCCCGACCATATTGCCTCGCATCCCACTGCAGCCCAGGTGCAGCAGTACCTTGTAGCCTACGCCACTCACTTCCAACTCGAAGCCTCGATTCGGCTCAATACCCACATTGCCCAGATTACGTTTGACCAAGAACGACAAAAGTGGATCGTGCAGGTCCAGGGGGAGGATACACAATACTTTGACAAGGTAGTCATAGCTACTGGCGGCATGGTTAGCAAGGCACACATGCCAACGGTCGAGGGCATGGACAAGTTTGCTGGTATAAGCATACACTCGCAAGCATTTAAGTGTCCAAGCGACTACAAGGGGAAGAGAGTCATGGTCGTAGGGTTTAGCAACAGCGCGGCAGATACGGCAACCCAACTGGCTGGCATTGCAGATAAAGTTTACATTGCGCACCGTCATGGGGCAAGAGTTGTAGGTCCACCTTGGCATGCCTGGGGCCGAGAAGATCTTTGGACTAACCGTATCACGACAGCTACCACGACACATCAACGGCGTCGCCATAGACCATACACACAGCCTTCGTCTCTTCAAGTTCCAAAGCCTCATGACCAAGTACTTTCCAAAGTTCAGTGACAAGCCGTTCGATAGGTTGATCAAGAGAATACAAGATAAGAGTTTTCATGTTCGCCCCGAGTGGCGCTTCGAGCCAGCGGGCAAGGTGCCCATCGTATCCGACAGCCTGGTTCCCTGCCTGGAAGAAGGCAGTGTTTCATCTGTTGCAGGGGTAAAGCGAGTTGTGTCCGAGACAAAGGTAGAGCTCGACGACGGAAGCAGCATCGAAGTCGACGTCATAGTATGGTGCACAGGGTACAAGTCTGACTTTAGCATTATCGAGCCAAAGTTTGATCCCACGTGTCGTCCACAGCGGTGGCTGGATGCACCGGGGTCAAACGGCAAGTCGCTGTTTCGGCTCTACCACAACGTCTTTTCAGTGGAGAAGCCGGATAGTCTGGCGTTCCTAGGCAACGTGCAGATCACAATTGCAAACTTCCAGCAGTTTGACCTGGCCACCATGGCCATTGCGCAGGTTTGGGCCAACAAGTCGCAGCTGCCCCCTCGCGACGCAATGATTGCTGCAGTGGAAAAGGAGCACGAATGGCTCATTGATCTGGCACGGCGCACCCCAAACGTGTCGCCAGGCCACTGCAATATGGGTGTATGGATACGAGCCATGGACCGTCTCGCTGGAACAGGAGTCAACGAGTATCTGGGCTACGGGCCGAAGGGCTGGGGATTCCGGCTCAGAGAGCCAAAGTACAGCAACCTCTTGACGGGAGGCATCTGGAGCCCACATATCCACCGTGTTTTTGATGGTAAGAGGAAGCGTTGGGATGGTGCCAAGGAGACGATTATCCAGACCAACCAGAGAGTTCGCGAGTCGAAGCGCACAAAGGGGGGAGCTGCTTGAGCCCGCTGCGCTCGCAGATTATGTAATTTCGTTCGTGCATGAGGTGAAGCTGTATATAGTAAGTAGTAGTATGTAGTATGTACATAATAGTAGTAAGTTGGATGTGGTTCCTGTTCGCGAAGATGCGAGGGAGTGCTCGAATGTTCCTTTCTGGACAGCTTCCCCACCATGACGCGATGGTCCGCGGCGAAGGAGGCAGGCAGACAGCGACTTTGACCACGACGCTGCGATCGTCTCATACGGTATAACTCTTCCAACACTGCCATCAAGACACGACACGACACGACACGACTTTGTATTCGTTCGCATAACTAGTGGAAACCTGACAGGCGTGGCGGTCATTACACAAGGTCGCGGCTTGGCCAATCACAGCACAGACTGTTGGGCAACGCATCTGGTGCACAGCGCAACAGACATATCATTTCGATTTGTTTCCACGCGCAACCCCGCAAAACATTGAAACACGTCAATTTCCCCCCCAAGACTGGTAGACACTTTTTTGTCTATCGCCTGTCCGAAGAAAAAAGACTCCATCGCCGACCGACACACTCAAATAATCCAATTGCCTGGGAAACACGCAACAACAATATCCAACATGGCGACGCAGACACTGCACGGCTCCTGTGCATGCGGACGGAACCGCTATGTAATTGAGATACCAGCGCAGCAAGTGCGCCAAGCTGAGCTGAGATACGACAATACTCCAGCATCGCGTAAGTACTAGATACATGCCCGCCACACGCGGGGATGCTCCGAACCATCACGGTGCTGTCGCTAACAAAGCATAATAACTGCAGGATACCATGCTGCCAACCCTCTCACACTCTGGCTGCGCGTGCCCTTGCCATGGTATACGTCGGCTACATTCGCCCAATTCCCCGACGAGACACGACTGAGTATCAAGCGCAACTTCGAATCTCCCTTTGCGTCCCACACCCGCCGCCAGTTCTGCGGATACTGCGGCACACAGTTGTCGTCGTGGAACGAGCGCACGCGCGATGAGGCCGAGCACATCTCCCTGACTGTCGGCAGCTTGTTGGACGAGGACCAGGAGCTGCTGGGCGACCTCGGCTTCATCCCCAGCAGTGACAGTAGCGACGACGAGGGCATGTCATCCGCTGCCCCCTCCCGTCCAACTTCTTCGCGCACCGTCGTCCGCTCGGGTCCGCAGTCTCGCGGCGCTCCCTGGTTCGAGGAGATTGTACGCAACACTCGCCTTGGACGCTTCAAGCAGCAGCGCGGTGCACACACGGACAGCGGCGTCCACGTCGAATGGGAAGTCACGGAATGGACCGAAGGCGACGGCCTCGATCTCGACGACGAGGGCAGCGCCACACCCAGCAAGCGCAAGATTGGCGACATCGATGACGCTGAAGACACGGAGATGCGCACCGCGTAGATCTCACCTTCTTTCATTTTCACGTACGGTATGACTTTGACTTGACATTCACAACGACAATAGATTTGGCGCCGCTCACGCCTCACGGGACGAGACAATTAGTAATCATCGGTCCTCTGGCAGGGCGACATGGGCTTGGAGTTTGCAGGTGCGTTTCTTTTGTGTATACCATTATGTGAATACAGTATGGCGCATATCACTTCGCCCTGTTTGTAACATGACCATTTTCTTCTCAGATGCATCAATCTATTCACTTTCCTTCGCTCTAATTCTTGCATGCACACCTCCTCTTTTTTAGTCCAATTCCATCGCACCCCCAATATGCCTTCACTTCTCTTTTGGCATCTAGGCCTTTGGCATTGGACATGCCGTCTTGGAAAACCAATCAAACCTATCTGAGCGGAAAGGGACGCGCGGGGGTGACTCGGCACGGATGTCTCTCGCTAACGCACAGCGACTCGCAACTTCACTGCCAACACGGTGTACCACCACACAGAGACAAGTGGGCGCTGCTCTGACTTTTGTGGAAAGAGATCTCATAGGTCGACAAGATGGCTTCGTTGTTCAGGCGCTTCGTTGTCCAGCACTCGCAGTGGGAGGCCTTGCTAATATATCATGAACATTACTTATCTTGCCTTACCTCATTCTGTTATTCGACCAGCCTCTGCATCGAAAAAGGAGCGCTTCCATACTCCCGGGTATGGAGCACAAGTCCCGCTCATTGGTCCCCACATGGTTCGTACCTGCAACACACAAGGGTTGATTATCTACACCCTGGGATCGACTATCTGCACCCTGCAGTGTTCCCGGCATAGTCCGTTTTCTTATCAGCCCCGAGCAACATAACACGATTAGTCTCACCAACCCGCATGCCTCGTTCCACTCCCTGGCTTCAATGCCGGCATAGATTTTTCTCTAGTATGGATGTGCTCCTCGGATATCGTCCTAACCTGGCCGCTTTTTCTGCCGTCATTCTTGGAGCATGCAAGCATTGTATGGGGCGTATATGCAACGGCATCTAGCTGCTGCTGCCACTTTCCGATCGCTTAGCATATGTATTTACGTGAAGGGGGCATAATTGTTTTGCAATCTGATAGATAGACGCGTCCGGATCCACTGTCTCTAGTGCCGCTGGTGAATATCGAAAAGCACAAAGACGAAGTTTTTGCTTTTTTCCCTTCATCCTATACACTCCTTGTTGCCCGCCGGCCGACCACCAGCATGGATTCGGAGAGGAAATTGTCGGCAGAGAAGCCAGTGTCAGTGGACGTGGATGAGGCAGCAGGTGTAACTGAGGTGTTGAACGCCTCGGGACACAAACAAGAACTTGAGCGTAACTTTAGTTTGCTCAATCTCTGCGCCATTGGTATCACGACTGGCAACGTTTGGGCTGCATTGGGAGGCTCCATTGTATGTTGATTCTGTCTCCTTGCTCTGAAAGTTCCAAACCCACGAATTCCGCTGACTTGCCTTAGGTCATTGCGCTCTACAATGGCGGTCCTGCTGGCGTTATTTACGAATTCATCACTGTATCGTGCTTCTACTTCATGATTGCGGCATGCATTGCAGAAATGGCATCCGCTATTCCTTCTTCTGCTGGCGTATACCACTGGGCGAGCGTAACAGGCGGGGCGAAATTCGGAAAGGTTATAGGTTTCTACGCTGGATGGTACGTACAATAGAGGATACCAGATGGGAGAGAAGTTAACTTGTGCCAGGTGGAATGTGTTGGGCTGGATCTTTGGCACAGCATCCATAACCTCGATCCTCTCGACCCAGATCATTTCCATGTATGGCCTATTCCACCCAGGCTATGCCTATGAGCGCTGGCACGTCTTCATCGTGTATCTCATCATGACTTGGCTTTCCTGCGCCATTGTCATGTTCGCAAATCGCGCCCTCCCGAAACTGACCAACATTGGCCTCTTCTTCATCCTCATGGGCGTCTTCGTCACCATCATGGTATGCGCAATCATGCCAAGTCAGACAGGCAAAGGATACGCGAGCAGCGAGTTTGTATGGCAACAATGGTCGAACCAAACAGGTTGGAGCAGTGACGGCTTCGTCTTTTGTGCGGGAATGCTGAACGGAGCTTTTGCCGTTGGTACACCGTGAGTATATCACCTTGCTTATACTTTCATGGCATGCTAACAATCTTCTCACAGCGACTGCGTATCCCATCTCGCCGAAGAGCTTCCCCGCCCACGCACGAACATCCCCAAAGCAATCCTCGCCCAATACGCAGTCGGCTTCATAACCGCATTCCTCTACCTAATCGCAATCTTCTATTCCGTAAACGACCTCGACACCCTCTTCTCGAACCCCTGGCCCTTTCCCCTCGCAGAACTCTACCGCCAAGCCACAAACTCGCACGGCGGCTCCCTCGGCCTCCTCATCGTCATCTTCCTCCCCACCTTTTGCACAAACATTGGCTGCTACATCACCAGCGGCCGCATGCTCTGGACCCTCGGCCGCGACGACGCTACACCTTTCAGCCACTGGGTCGGCAAAGTCGACAGCAAATGGGAGAACCCCTTCAACGCAACGCTGACTTGCGGACTCATCAATACCGTCCTAGGCTGCATCTACATCGGCAGTAGCACCGCCTTCAACGCCTTCGTCGGCTCCTTCAGCATCCTCTGCTCCCTCTCCTACCTCGCCTTTCTCGTCCCTAACATCCTTTCCCGCCGCAAACGCGTAGTCAAAGGTCCCTTCACAATGTCCGATCCCGTCTTCTACACCGTAGCTTGTCTCGCGAGCGGTTACATGGTTGTCTGGATCCCGATTTACTGTTTCCCTTCTGCGCGGCCGTTTGATTATACGACGATGAATTATACGAGTGCGCTAACGGGCGGTGTGACGATTTTGCTGGGCGGATGGTATTTGTGGATTAGGAATAAGGGGTATGTGGGGCCGAGACGGTTGGTGGAGAGTTTGGAGAATGGCGAGGTGCCGGGGTTGGAGGGGGAGGAGAAGATGTGATGTGGAATGGGGATAGGTTGGGGGTGGTTTAGTGTTAGGGGGAGAAATGCAGAGTTATTTTTTAGCGGTTGCTTCAATATCATTGCTGATTGTACACAAGCCAATGCTGCTTTTGGATTCTGTGAATGATGGATGTCTAATTACTAGACACACAAGCAAGGAATTCGCGGATTGGAAAAGTAACTCCAGATTTCTTGGTGGGAAGAAGCAGTAATTCCACAATGCATATGAAGAGCAATTTAGTTGATACAACCTCTCCGAATTAAAATTTCGGTTCCGTTATCTTAGAATATTACTCTAGTTAGTATCTCCCCGTGAGCTTATAAGAGTGCCTTTGGACCCATACTGCAGTGTTTGTTTTGATCGCTGGTGGGATGGAACGGGAAAGATGACAGTAGTCTGGATAACACATTGTCTGAACGGCAGCGCAGTTTGGAGAATTTATCGGCTTAGTATAGACAATGAGTGCATCTTGATTGGCTTGACTTGACCTGTGTAAAGACTTCTTGCAAAGATAGGGAGGGGGTGATGTCGCTATTGGACTACTTTAACTGATATTAACAGTGGTCACAGCGTTGATGCGAATAGCGACTGTATGCACAACCACGGCGATAATAGATATTTGTTCTTTTAAGTAAAAAGGCTAAAAAAAACTCTACACCCCATACACATCCTCATCAAAAAATACCAACACGGCCTCACTCCCCCTCACACTAACCACTCCATCCTCCACAACCTCAATATCCATCTCCCCCACCGCATCTCCCTGCGGAAACGACTGCCCCGCCCACATCGTAACCTTACTATCTTTACTATCCACAAACGGCGCCGTCATCCTCTTGACCCTGACCACGCCCTCGTCCCGCTCGTCCCGCAACGCCCCCAACCCAACCTCGACGGTAAAATCCACCGTAGAATTAGCGTGGAAGGGATTCATATTCACCAGCGCAACTTTGGCCACCCTATCAGCCACATAAAACGCATACGCGGCAAACCTCTCCGCGTCCACGCCCTCAGGCGCTTGCAAAGCTCTAACTCTCGTCCCAGCCACTGCAAACGCCTCTGCCATGAAGAGTTGAGCCAGGAACGACGGCAGCGTGCGCGCAGGCCCCCTGAGCTCGCTATCGCGCGGATAAAGCATCGAATACGTACTAAACCCCGGACTCCCATTTTTGCCGGGCGTATTAACCTGTTCATTTGACTGCAGCGCGAGCGTCGCGCCCTGGTGCAAGAACGTCGAAGTCGCGTTCCTCGTTGCATATAGCAGTTCAGAGTCTACGACCCAGAGGGCCTGGGCGAAGGTATCGGTGACGTTGGGTGCGCCGGAGCAAGAAACCGAGTTGAATTCGCCGATGCTCCAGCTGCTGTTTGCGGTCAGGGCGGCGAGGGCAGACGGGTAGATTTCCGAGTCGCAGTAGCGGGCGAGCTCGGTGTGGTTGAGGATGTTTTTGATGGTGGCGAGGCGGGCGCGGGCGGGGTCGCAGGTCGAGAAGGCGTATGAGTGGATCGAGTAGGTGTCGACTTGGTGGGCTGAGTTTATGCCTGCTGGGATGAGGGCTGCGGGGCGGACTTCGAGGCCTGAGTTGTCGGTTGTGGCTGACGAGGCCCACCAGCGGGCTTGGGGGAGGGCGGAGGTGTTGAGCTTGTTTACGGCGGTGTCGATGCTTGCGGTGTATTCCTTCCATTGCTTCACGTAGGCTTGGGTGGAAAGATTCCATCGGTTCCTGTCGTAGTTTGTGGGTTCGTTGCCGAGTTCGAGGTAGGCGACCTTGTCGGGTTGATATGTCAATGAGGCGACAGCCAGACCCGTGGCGATGTCTAGACTTTCGTTGCCAAAGTTGAGCGTAGCTACGAATTTTGTTCCTTCGGGGAAATTGGACCAGCTCTTGAAGTATCCGGGTCCAACAGTCGTCCGCCAGACTCCACCAGTTGGGCTAGTCGTACGCACCACGTCGCCCCCGTTTGGATCAAATATCATACTGTCCATGGTGATGCCGCCAGGACGTATGACTGGATGCCCTCCATGCTCATGGATTCTGACCAGTGCCTTGAATGTAAGCTGGTTCGGATTGCTAGCATTTCCGAAAAAGTCGACCCAGAAAGCAGGCTCGAAGGAAAATGAAGCAAAAGAATTTGTGTGAGGAATTGAAGCCCCTACTGCTGTCTTTGGAACAATCAAGCTTGAAGCCTGTGTATTGTCCTTGGTGGGCAAGGCGTAGGCAGTGGTTACTGCAATTGAAACAGCGACGATGCTCAGGTAAGCCATGGCGAAAATTTGTAAACTTGAAGCACCTCGTCCGTCTCACTGCGACCATGTAGTAAAGACATCCTGGCAATTGATATACTTTGTACTTAGTACGTAGAAGACAAAACGTCACAGCGATACAACAGTCTTGTTGTTTACCGAAACGGGCGATATCACTCCGACGGCCGTGAAATACCCCATTGCGCCGGCGTCGAGACGGAAAAATTAGTCGCGGATTTAAGGTGAGGAAGCGATGCTGTGGGGGAGCCCGCGGGGAAGGCTAGTGGATCGTCACGGCTCGCTTTTTCGCGGGGAACAAATATGATCATGCCATCGGGTAGGTAGCTGAATTCAGCATCGTCATCTTGGCAACAATGCCAGTTTGCCTAGAACCGGTATGCAATGTTGAAAATGATACCCTAAGATGTGACGTAGCCATAGAGACTACATACACCCTAATGCTGGTCCTCCGCTAATCCAAAACGACATTTCCTCCGTCTGTACAGCAAATGCCGCATCCCTGATCCGTTCGATGTGCACTGCATTGATGTACGTCGCAGGACAATGCCAAATACGGGATTTCATCGACGCCTGATGAGCCTTATACCATGTTGCTGCATTGGCGCTATTACTAATGGCTGGTCTAGAATACATTGGCCTTCACGTGTGTGCGCGCGCATCCATGATACTGATTTCCGGAGATCTCTCCGGCCGCATGCTTGACATGCGAACGAATAATTTCGATTGCTGATGATCCAATAGCCGTGTGTAGAGCGCCGTTAATTGCTAGTTGATGTCTATGTCCCTTCCCAAGTCTACTTTGTTCCCTGCGCGCCATGAGGAGCCCCAGTTCTTCTCTTCATCATAACTTCTCCCATTGCATTTCTGACTTCCCTCTCTTGATGCACCACGTTCTGTACCATGTACTTCTTTAGCGCTTCCCTCAGCTCGCTCTTTGCCCTTTCGTTATCCCTGTAGGGCACGCTTTCTAATTCCAAGAGCCTATTCACGTCCTTGTTATTTTCGGCGACAAATTGCCCCAGGCGGTCGAGCTGCTTGTGTATCGTGTCCTCGCTATTGTCGGTAGGCTTTGAACCCTGCGGATCGTCGCGATAAAGTGGCGTAAGGAGAGCAAGGAATTGGGTGAGAGATATAGCCGTCTTCTTGATAACGGCAATGACTTGAAATGGGAGATATGCAGGCCGGAGGTTGGTGGATGTAACGAGCGGGTTTAGGTACTTGGTGAGCAACGCAGGGTGGTCGGGACGCAGAGCGGTGCGTACTTCAAAAGTTGCGACAGCGAGAAGACCCACGTAGCGCCAGTGTGCGCCATCTCGTAGAAAGCCAAGAGCATTTGCGCCCATTAAGAAAATAAGTAGGCCGATGTACGTTATGTACGTAGACACCAGTGCCCCGTCAATGTACTCCTTGATGGTCAAACAGTCTTGGCACTGCCTGAGGATGTCTGGGCCAAAGCGGTCATATGCAAAGCGCTTTACGGGATCCAGAATGATATCCCGCGCATGCTTCAAATGCACATAGTAATTGTTGGCGAGTTCCTGGTCTACATTTGGCCCAATCTTATCCGGATGATACTTGATTGTCAACCTCCTGAAGCGCGAGTTTATACCACTTTCGTCAACATCGATGGGTACGCCGAGATCGTTGTACGCATTGCTGGAACGCTGCAGGTTGAAATCGACTTCGTAGATGGTAAAGGCAAAATACGCTGCGTAGACAGCTATGAGGATATTGCGGCGATGTTTGTTGAAGCGCGGAGTGCCGGGTTGTGGTTTTGGGTCACCGGCACGGATGAAGATGCCGTAAAGGACGGTTTGTATCCATCCTGCAGCCTATGTCGCGTTAGATGCTGTTCCATCTGGAGTCAAACGGGTTGGACTAACAAGGGGTATGAGAAACTGCCACACTAGGAAGGGTAGAATCGCATCCAGCGATAGAGTATCCTTGGCCATTCTCTGGTTACAAGTTGAGTGACATGAAGCAGGAAGAGTGAGCACTACATGGAAAGACAGGTGGCACTGGCGTCGATCGGAACGGTTCCGAACCAAATTATGCAGAGGCACGTGCGCGTGGCAAACCCAACATCGCAAAGCTACAATCAGACATAGTTGCACACTACGTTCATCATTGATGAAAATGCTGTGGCAGATTACTTTGCAAATATCACGATCCGAATTCAACAGGAGAAAGATTCAACAGGAGAAAACTATGGTATTCAAAGTACGTACTCGACGTTTAGTCGATCTATGGTATAATGCAATGCGCTGCAAACAATTGCAACATATTAAAAAGAAAAAGCCTACATGCTGGAAAGCATGCAGCTCAACAACTGTCTGCATAAATAATCCTGAAGCCCGGAATTGGTTGGCGACTCAGCGCCGGGTATATTTTTCACCAGACATAACGCATATATGCATCGGCTTGCCGATTTTCATAGCGCACGCAGCGCGCTCACTCGCATTCATTGCGACCAGCGCTCACATACTCGCTTTAGCAGAAATGAGATTTTAAGCTTGTCCGCTGGTCTGAGGCATAAGCCCCTCATCCTGTCGGCGCTTCTCCTTGAGAGATCCTGCAGCAGATCGGTTCTCGACATCACTGTCAGAAATGTCATACTGGCGTACAGCCTCGGCGATCTGGGCTTCGTCCATCTTGGGCAGCTGCTTGGCGGCATGGACATAGCTGATCTTCTCAGTGTAGCCCTTGGCGAAGATGAGGTCAATCTCTTCAAGGGATCGTCCGGCAGTCTCGGGGTAGAAGAAGTAAATGATGGGAATAAAGGAAGCGTTGAGCGCAGCGAAGAAGAGGTAGGTGCCCCAGCCAATGCTGGTGATGAGCACAGGGGTGATCATGACGATGAAGAAGTTCCACAGCCAGTTGTTGATGGTGGAGAAAGCGTTGGCCTTCTGACGGGTCTTGAGAGGGTTGATCTCGGCAGGGTACAGCCAGGGCAGAGGCAGCCAGGTGACACCGAAGAAGGCAATGTAGACGAAGAGACCGACAGCAGCACCGGGGGCAGAGACGGTCTTGTCAATCAAGCACGCAAAGGTGAGAACCATGGCAAGCATCTGGCCGACGGTACCGATGAGATAAAGCTTGCGGCGACCTACGCGCTCAACGAAGAAGAATGAAGTCGAAGCGAAGGCGGCGTAGACAACCATGTTGACACCTCCCAAAAGAAGGGCGAGGTTATGGTCGGTGCCCAAAGCGTCCTGGCAGAGAATGGGGAAGTAGTAGATAACAGCGTTGCATCCAGAAAGTTGTTGCATGAATTGTCCAGAGGCACCGAGAAGAGCACGGCGGAAGTGCTGCGTCTTTCCTCCAGTGAGGAGGGCCTTGGTGGGAACCTTGCCACCGCCACCAGAAGCGTTGACGGCATCACGAATGACCTGCATCTGGATGAGAACCTCTGGGTCGTCACGAGGAACGCCATTCAGACCAGCCAAGACAGTGGCAGCTTCATCTTCGCGGTGATGGTTGAGCAGCCAGCGAGGGGATTCGGGAAGCGAGGTCATCATGATAATGACAACAAAGGCGAAGACACACTGGAAAGCAATGGGGAATCTCCAGGTGAAGTCATCGGGGCCGTAGAGACAGCCATAGTCGATCCAGTAGGCGATGAGCGTACCAATGGCAACCATGGAGCCTTCAATACAGATGACCTTTCCGCGGTTCTTGGCCTTGCAGCACCTGGTGGGTGGTTAGAGTCTGTGTGGAGGAGATGGTCAATATATGGGACACAACTTACTCAGCTTGGTAGGTAGGAATAGTTGAAGTGTTGATGCCGTTTCCAACACCGGTGATGCATCGTCCGACGATAAACTGGGCAGTAGCACCGCCATTAGGAGGGACGCAGGCGATTTGGATAATGACACCGATGACCATGACAAAGGCACCGAGGAAGATGCTCTTGCGGCGACCAAGCTTGTCTCCAAAGACGAAGATGAAGCAAGCACCGAGGAAACAACCGACAGCGTAGATGGAGACGACGAAACCTTCGTAGGTCGAGTCACCCTTGACCTGGGGGAAGGCGGATTGGAAGGCCGGGGCGGAGATGATGCCACTCATGACACCCTGATCGTAACCGAAGAGCAGAAAGTCTGTTACGGCAACAATGGTGACGAGGACCTGAAGCATGCGGCCGGACTGGCCCCAGTAGGTGGGCACGCCATTCTCGCTCTCTTTGATACGTGGAGGCATGTTTGCGGTGTATCGATGGACAGGCTGGAGGGAAGTGAGGAGATGCTGGGGAGGTGGGCAAGCTGGGGAGAAGGGTAGAGCTTTAAATGATGATCCCCAAGAGTAGTACCAGGGTCCTCGGCAAAAACGTGGTGCAGCATGTACGGCCTTGGTCCACTAAAAGCGACGCTACCAAGATGCTGTCTGACGCGTGGAGAAGACTAGATAACGGATTTTTTCAACATCTTGGCCTTGGCTGTTGTTGTAATAACGCCAGGCGTGCAGGCTGGCGGAAGAGGCGCAAATAAACTGTGGAGATGCAAGGAGCCTAACAGGGTCTGTCTGTGGAGCCTGAATGGCTGGGGCCAATCTTGGAGAAGAGCGGAGGACGCTTGCGGTGCAACAAGCGCGCTCGGCATAGGCTGCGTCTTGTCTTAGGCCCGAGGTTGCCTCCACATTACGTCACGGGTACAAGCATCGGGAGGGTGGTTGAGTAGGGATGCGAAGTGAACACGGGCGGAACGTCTGAGGGTGCCAACCGTTGCAAAGCGGGCGGAGGGAAGACATGGGCCAAGAAGCGGTTTGCATGCTGACGGCGATGCCGAGTCGTTGGTGTAGCCATACACATGGTCGCGGGGAGGTTGATGGGCTGGCAGTAGATAGAACCACCAAGACGCAGGGACTAGGGGATGCTCGCAGCTCGTCACCAAGTCGTTCATGGGGGGCGGGCGTGTATGGTAGTCGAGCAACGATAGCACAGGGACAGGTGCAGACTCGGGCAACATGCCGCAAGTGAAGAGGTAGCGTCCTAAGATTTTTTTGCTTAGAGGCACAGCGGCCATGTCAACATGCGTGCGCCTGACGTCATGCATCGGCGGAAGGCAGTCTTCACATGCAGGGTCTGACCAACCGTGCGCATGCGGCTCTGCAGCTTCTTCGCCTTGGCCGCTGATCTTGACTAACAAGGCTCGCAAAAGGTGGAGCTTGAACGCACCATGGCTGCAGCCGTGACGAGCAACGCTGCCATGCACACGGGCGGATGCGCTGCCCAAGACGTGTGTGACGGAGACTGCAGCACCACCACTAAGCCCCCTCGGGCACAAACCGCTGCGCTGACGACTGCCGGCCGGGAATTTGTCGTGCCTTTCGGGGAGCCCTGTTCACACGGCTCGTCGTTGTGTGTGGTTAGAGTACGGATAGGAGTTAGTATGATGTTGATGGGCCGTTGCCAGTTTTTTTTTTACCCGATCCCCAGACTCGCACCCCAAGTTTTTTTTTTCGAAAGACGTCACTGCGCCGCAGTCGTCACCGCAAGGCAGCATGTTTCGTCAGAATATAAAGGTGAAGATGAAGAACTAGCGCTCACCCTGCCAATGCGGGATAAGTTGCCAATGGCAAATGCTTAGCAGACGGTTGATGAGCGAGTCGGCCCAGCGGTTTGCGGGGATGAGGCGTCGACAAGCATATGTTGATCCGGCCCGTCCCAAAGAGGAAGGTCCGGATCGCTTGGCGCGCTCCCATCTCAATTGCAGCACGCACCCTCGAGGATGGCGACGCATGCAGACGCGATGCACCATAAACAAAACAACAGCAAAAGCAGCAGGCGCGCATGTGAGCCCATGTGAAGACGGAAGGCTCGAACCATACGGTCACATGCCGTCCCTCTACCCCGTCTTCCCCACGGCCCGGCAGGCCAACTCGGCTCCGTCTCCAGTTCCCCATTGATACTCTGCCGCACGCAACACACACACACACACACACACACACACATGTCCCCCAACAATACCACCCACACGGAACACACGGCTCTCATCTCTCGTGCTAACACACGCCGAACACACCCAACAAAGCAAGAACCCACTTGGGCAGCCTCCACGAGCCGCTACGCACACGTGTTCCTGCCAAGCATCATACCATCTCGAGTACGAGGACCACAAATATGTAATCTGCAATGTCGGTGCTTCCGCCTCTTGCAGAATGTAGAATGCCCTTCTGATCATCACAATCATACTTGCTTTTGCATGACAGGCTGGCCCGCGGCCTTGGACATCAGGGTCTGTCCACTGCCCGCCAATCACCACCGCGCCATACACTGCGCTGTCAACCCCCTCTACCAACTGCCTCGTTCCAATACCACTTGCATGCCCTTCTGACACCTTGTTCCAGGACACTGGAACTGGGGGAACGGCCATGGGCGCGCGCGAAGCCTGTTTGCGCTCCATCTCCGCCAATCTCCAACCTTTCGTCGTTAGCACTCGATGCGAGAGCTAGGGTAGACTATGTATCTGACCCACGTCAGTTCCCCTCATGCACTCTCGGCATTGGCATCGCGCTGCGCCTATACATATATGCGGCCCATTCAACGCACTCAACTCCATCCCCGGCTCTTCATGTGCTCGCTATATTTCGCGCAATCCCAAGCCCAACCCCCGGTTCCCAAGACTTTGGCAAAGTCCGGTAAATCCATCCGGAGTACAGAGCCTTCTGTATGCGGAGCACCCACAGTCTCCACATTCTGCTACTTTGGCAGTCATGTGTCCCACCATCGTACTTGCCAAGTTGGGCTCCACTATGCGCATCGCCCTCCATCGTAACCGAGAAACGGTCGATTGGCGGTCAACCGATAACTGCCACTTTTGAGGGTCTCACAATCTCCTCATACTTTCTGTGGCCAGTTTTGCATCTGCCTCGCTAAGTAGCTGCCTTCCCCGTATTGCCAACACGTCCTGTGTTGCACTCATATCGCTCCAAGCATCCTCTTCCCAGTCCTGTCTATACAACATCCATATTAACCATCACGTTCAGGTTCTGCCACTATATCTTCCCAGTACCATTCCTCTTTCTAGAACATACCAAGTTGGAGAAACGTCTCTTATCTCACAGCCACCTCACCACTGTACTTGGCCCTACAGTGTTTCCCTCGTCGCCAAGACCCCATTGTCAAAGTATCGTGGCCAGAGTGTTCATACGCCTAGCATCGTCATGCTTTCGCCCACACCATTAGCATTCGGTTCTCCTGCGACTAGTATCTGTCGGACTGGCCTCCTATATCCAATAGTATCTGCCACTTCCCATCCTTGCGATCTCGTATGCTTGGTCAGTCGGCGCATAACAAGACTCTTGGTTGCATGGGTTTTAGACTTTTACATTTCGTTGCTTTTCACTCTGGAACCAGGGTGAGCCCAACCATAATCCGTCACGCTGATCAGATAGCAAACACGGCGCTTTGGAGGCTAAACTGAAGCTCAAACTAGTCTGTCATCTATATGCCCTGGATGCATTGCACAAGACTCTAGTTCTTTGTTTCTTATGTGCATAAATACGAGCTTGTCAAACACTGTTGGTGTAGTGTACTAAGAAGGGTCATGGAATAGTTATGCCAGGCGCTGGCGTTTGGACTTGACGAGATTAATCAAGTCGCAAGCGCAGTAACTAGTTTAGAATGCGGGGAAGGTTTGTCGTACGATGATTAGTAGGTGCCAAGAAGATACAAAATGCTGACATCTGGGCAGTCACTACGCTGTAGCCTCCTATAGCGTGTATAGGGTGACCGTGCAACACCATGATCGACACATCTTTTTGTCATCTAGCGTACCTTATTCCTAAGGCAGCCCATTACGCTCTTGTTTAATTTCCACGTGGTTGAGGTAGTATGAGACACCCTAAAAGTCACCTCCCTTGTCTTTCTGCCTTGGTCGAGATGCAGCAAAATACGAACTCGAATCCTGCTCCCAAGGAGTCTAGTCCGGGCCTTTACACTACATGTCACACCAGAATTCTGCCATTGCCGTCGGAGGATTTATTCCATTTACTGAACAGCAACTAGAACGTGTTGGGTACATGACTCGAGAGCAGCCACTCACAAGCCACCTCAACTTCTTTGTTAGTCTCAGAAGTGAGTCTAGCAAAAAATCGCAAACAATTCGTCCCGGACCAAGTGCAATTCTCCGGTTGTAAACGGGCCTTTACGGTAGCGTCGACCAAATGCCAAGATTTGCTTGGTGAACCCAAGCCGGCCATGCAGACGCATCCGGTGACAGAATGCGATGTCAAGTGTAGATCCAGTGAAATCGCACGACGTCTCAGGTGTCGACGCATGAAACCTCAGACGGCCGGCCACGGAAGTTTTTTCTTCTCCATTGTATTTTTCCTCCACTCGAGACGAAACTTGTTCTGTTTGCGTCATGTGTTTTCTGTTCATGGCATACCACGAGCTTACGTCGAGCGGGCGAGTGAGCAAGTTCAACCTAGACATGCAATTCATGGCCAACACTATCTACCCGCCAACCTGAGAGTGAGCAGTGGGGAGGCGAGGACTGGACTGAGCAGCGGGAGCACGGCAACCGTGGGATTAACATCAAGGTCCACTCGTTTGTGGCGCCGGTCCGGCCCATGTTCTACAGGGATACCCGGAGAAGGCTCGAGTTTGGACATGTATTTGAGTTTCTGTGCTCGAATATAAATGTTTTTACCGGTAGATTTCTGTCAAGGAGAGATGCCATTGGCCCATGGGGCTTTCGGAAATGCGGTTGTAGTGATATAATACCATGAATGCTACACCAAGTCTGAAGAAAGATTCCAACACTATGCCTTGTCTTCCAGGGGGATGCTTGCGTCGATACGGCAGCATGGCTGATACCAAGAAGCGTAGCAAGAAGGTGCAAAGAAAATGGGCTTGCCCAGCGCAGCCGCGAGAGCCAATGGCCAGCAAACTTCGGGTCAGATGTCGGCAGTACCTGTATGTCTTGCAGGGTGTTTGTGTTTGAGAGTCTGGTTGTGGCTGATTTTAGATGATTACCTTGGGCCCCGGTGCCCGGGATAAGTACGTCGGGCTTCGGAGCCAGCATGAAGCCCGCACAAGCTGTCACACGTACTGAACAGGCCGTGAACGACACCAGAATGCGCTCGAGAGCAGCCTCACCGCCCATTCACGCGCCCAGCTGCCATCCATCGGAATGGAGGGTCCGATGAGTGTTTCGGCGGCGTGGCGATCGATGCGCGCCGCCAACGCTATGCGCTCCGTGCATCAGCTGCGTACATGGATTGCCTGCTGTATACTGCCTCTGCTGCCGTCGTACATACGTGTCGCTGATATGAGGCCACAAGTCAGATGAGGCATGGAAAAGAAGGTTGAGTGTGAGAAGGGGGAGACGAAAGCCACAGGCTGACATTCGGGCCTTAGCGCCATGAACGCATAGGGTCCGGATTGGCAAATGCGGGTCCAATCGGTTCTTTGAAGAACTTTGTATGGCTCCGTTGCAAGCCACGGGCAGTCGTCGACACGGAGAACGCCAGATAGGCACTCGACATGTGCGCCTCGTTCAACTCCAGCAGCCTGTCGCCCTAGCTGCATAACGTCTGCCATCCTGAAACGCTGTCTTTTGCTACGGGGCGCCGCGGGGTATTCTTAGTCCCACAAGCCCTCAAGCCTTCAAAACCACACTGACGCACTCCCCCAACTCGCAGAGCACACAAAGCTCGCTCTGCCGCCCGTCATTTTTTCGCCGACTCCTGGATGACTATGCAGCACCCGTCCCGGATTCTCAATCGACTCTGGCTGCGACTCAATGGCGAACAGCAAGTAAGTAGTAGTAGTAGTGACTGCGCGACACTTCCACAGCCCCCGGTAAACTAACTGGCCGTGCCCAGATATGAATATGTGCGCTTGTTTGAGCAACCCGACATCCTCCTGGCCAACACATGGATCGTCGTGCGAATCGACGGCCGTGGCTTTTCAAAGTATGTCCTTAATCTATTCATCTTCCTTTTCTCCGTTACAGCCGTGTCCTTTCTCGCGCTGCTAGCACTTTGCGTCCGCCAGCGTATGCAGGTACCCGTTACCTGGTGCATGAACGGATAATGTTGCCTCAGGCCATCCTTTCGGCTATTATATACAACACCAAGCACTCGTCGCTGATTACCATGCCACTAGGTTCACGACCAAATATAAATTCACCAAACCCAATGACAAGAATGGCATCGATGTCATGAACGCCGCGGCTAAGGCTGTCATGCAAGAAATACCCGACCTTGTCATGGCATTCGGCAATAGCGATGAGTACAGGTGCGTCCTCCCCGCTTCATTGGCCTAAGCCGCGTTTGAGGGAGATTGAAGTTCCCGTAGGGCTCAAGCCCACCCGCTTCTTCTTTCTCTACACGGCCAACGTCCGCGTTTCAAAAAGCCCGCTCAGCTGACGTGGGCCGTAGTTTCGTCTTTCACAAGGACTGTACCTTATTTGAGCGACGAGCAAGGTATGCAAGCACTACCATTGGCCCAATCGCGTTTTGCCGCTACTTCCCATTCCATTGCTGACCCGTCTGTAGCAAGTTGACTACGACAATCGTCTCGACTTTCACTTCTTATTATGTCTATTCTTGGGCCAAATACTTCCCGCAAAAGCCACTCACGCCCCCACTGCCCTCTTTTGACGGCCGCGCCGTCTGCTATCCAAGTGACACCAATCTCCGTGACTACATGAGCTGGCGCCAAGTTGATTGTAAGTAACACGCCACACCGTTGTTCCTACCATATGCAATTTGGCCCCTGTAATTTCTCAAAATTCATTGCAAATGTCCCGGTGGGTCTAATGGAATCCCAGGTCACATCAACAATCTATACAATACCACATTCTGGGCTCTTGTCCAGCAGGGCGGTATGGGTCCTCGTGAAGCAGAAGAAAGACTAAAAGGGACGGTATCATCCGATAAAAACGAGATCCTGTTCAAGGAGTTTGGAATCAACTACAACAACGAGCCAAACTGCTTCAGGAAGGGGACCGTGCTATACCGAGACGTAAGTCATGCTAACCTCCAGTCAATGTCTTGAACAATGGCGCCTGACATTAGCAGTTCTTTCCCCCGATATCGCCTGAAGAGTTGCCAACCCCCATGTTCTCGGAGTTTCCTACACCACCCCTCGCTCAACCAAAACCCAGGCGGGTGTCGAAAGACGAACTGTCTAAATCTATCGAAAAGGCTGTAACTACTCTGCCAGAGTTGGATTCTTCTGTGGCATCGCCAGATTCCTGCTCGCGTCCAACATTTCTCTCAACTACATCGACTCCCTCACCCCCACCATCTCCGCCACACATGTCGAGGGCGGCATTTCCCAACCCGCTTCGCTCCAACCCTATCAGTACTCGAAGTAGTGCTAATGTCCCCGACTCTTCTTTCCCGCTTTCGCCGCCATCGACTGCCACCTGGGCTAGCAAACCACAGTCCAATGGCAAGCAACCACTGCCCTCGCTAACACCTCTACCTCTTTCTCCGCCAACGCTGAAACCAAGCACCAAGCCTCCGATGTCTCTGAACGCACCGAATCCAACCACACGCACAAACTTCTCACCGACGACACCGCAGCATGACTTTCCCGCCGATTTCCCGATAGCAGGATACCGCCACAAAACCTCCTTGTCAGTCAACCAGGGCATCTCACATTCAGCTTCGGCTTCTCTCACAACAGCACAACTACCACAAGATCAGCATCCCGGACTTAAGCGACGCTCACCTAGTCAACCATCACTCCCAACCTACTTTGACACGGTTGCCAGAAGCCAGACAGGGCCGCCTTTCATACCTTTGCGTATGTCGAGCATCCCTGCCAACAACAAGCCGAGAAAATTGTCACTGCCTGTTCACCGATCATCTAGCACACTGAGAGCCACCAGGGGCACAGATGAGAAGGAGAGCGGGGCGAGTACTAACGAGGCAGTTTCCACACCGCTCCGGAGAGTCAGCCCGCCAATGCAAAAGAATAAGGCCCTACCAAGTCCACCGATGAGTGCAGAAGAGGAGACACGAACAAGAGAGAAGGTCATAGCCAGCAGCCCGAAGCATGACTGGAACAACTATTCCATGGCCTATAACACCACGGAGCAACCAATACGGCGAGCCAGCGACTCTGAGAGTCAAACCGGCCGAGTCTGGACCAGCGAGCAGGCTCCACACCCAGGCATCCCCGAACTCCACGCCATCTCAACCCAACTCCCACTCTCGGCCTCGAGCACCACAAAATCCCCCCTCACATCCGCATCCCTCCAATACCCCCACCCAACCCCAGACATGCACACCCTCATCTCCTGCACCACTGCCCCTGCCGCCGCCCCACAACCCCCAAAATCCCAACCCTACGCCACAACCCAGCCCTTCCCCAGCAGCAACACCACCATGCCCCTCCGCACCAACCTCCCTCCCGCCCTCTCCAAACCCAAAACAAAGGACTCCATCTCTCCTAAACAACCAAATGATTCTCAGAAACGCAGACATCCCGAGTCGAAGCGGAAGGAAGGCAAGAGTTCAGCCACTGGTGGTGATGAGGGTCGCCCGGTCAATATGAGTCGCTCCCAGCGCGATAAAGATCGCAAGAAGAGGAGTAAAGCGGCGATTCTTATGGAGCATGTGGATATTATCAAGGATGATTTTTGGGATAAGAGACCTTGGCTTTTGAGTGGGAAGACGGGGTGATGATTTTTATATCACGATTATTATTTTTTTTGACTTTTTTTTTCGGTTATTTGGGGGATTTTTTCCCCCCTCTCTCTCCCCTCTTTTTGGGACTCTCTCGTTTTGTTTTTTTGACAAACCGGGGATGTGCTGGAAGTTCGTATCCCCGGTTATACAGATTTTTCTACTCTTCTTTTTTTTTCTGGAGGTCGGTGCGAAGGGGGGGGGGGGGGGGAATTCGGTCTGGATGGCAACCTGAGATATACGAGAATTCTTTCTCTTTGGCATGAAAGCATATATGTATTCACTGGTTATGAAACGAATTTGTTTTGTTTGCTTGTCCTTGATGATTGGAATGTCCTTTTTTTTCTCCTATGTAACAATATATGTATGATTGGATATTCGCTTTGCTCGCTTTCTATGCTGGTTGATCTTGTCTAAGTGGATATAAATCTTTTGCCCGTATTTTTCATGTCTTGTGTGTATGCACTTGCATGTGCGGATTCCGTTTTGCGCAGATTTATTACTGATTTCGTTGCGCCAATTGTCTTCCGCCTCCCTTCTTGATGTGCAGTCTTGACTCGGTGCGTTCGCGGCATAGGGCCGGCTGCTCATATGATGTTTTTTGAGTAGCGGGCTAGGCTGGGCCGGAAGCCTTCAAACTCCATCCCACCTGATGCGCGATGTGCTTCGTCACATCATGCGTACGTGAATAGAGACGTATTTTTTGGGAGTCTGTCTCTGGTGTCCGGGGTGATTTTTTCGCCTGCACGGCTACTGCTTTGCGCGCACCTTGTCACTTGTCTTCTGTTTCTTCTTGTCCGTTTTGTCTTCTTTCTTCGCCTTTGTCGTATCCTTTTCAGCTTTCTTCTGTATCCGACGAAGGACGTATTGCTCGAGTGTCTGGCCCTTTTCAGCAGCGCGAGTCTCGTACTCTGCTTTCTCGGCGGGTTTCAGCTTTGCAAGCTTTTTGGCTACGACATATTGACTATTGTCGCTTGATTTTGACTTTGAAGCCTTTTCAGACGAATCTTTGAACTTCTTGCTCTTCCTGCTCTCGGATGCCTCCTTCTCTTCCCGCTTGCGCTTATTCTTCTTGTCTGATGTCTTTGCGGGCGCTTCGCTGTCAGAGGCAGAGGTCGGGGGCGTGCTGGTGCCGGATGAGGGATTCGAGGCTTCAGTAGTAATCGCGGATGTGTCTTCGATGGTGCCCTCTATTTGTTCGCCCTTGACAAAGAAACCGTACAGACCACCTCGGTTGATGCCCTTGGTGCGGATCTGGTCGAGTGTGCTCTGCGCAGAGAATTAGCTGGAGACCTTCGCTTTTGAGTCGCCAAGACAGGCGATGTTCAGGCGCATACATCTTTGCCAGTTCCGATGCTTTGCAGGCTCTGGTCAAACGCTCGCATCCACCATTGGTCGTCTGTTGTATGCGCCGCCTTCTTCTTGCCAAGTCCTAATTGGTCATTCTTGTGCGCAATAAGAAGCGGCTTCTTGATACCGCGCCCGGTCGTGTCGAGAGAGTGGCCGGAGCCTTGCCAGCCCTGCTTGCGCAGGTATGCCTCGGCGTTCATTGCTGCTGAGGGTGAAAAGGAACACTGGAGAGTTCGCGCCAGGAAATTTTGGTGGGGAAATTCCGGGCGTTAGCGCGCAATGCAATGCGGACCCCCGAACCGCATCGTTCAGTACTTGTTTACTTTCCAGTCTTCATCACACGTGCTGGTTTTGGTATCAACGCCAATTTCATTATTCAAGGCTGCAAAATACATGCAATGGGTTTTTGAAACTTCATATGCTGGAATCATAAGCCACATGTCCCTATTTTTCCAATCACCACTTGTTCTTCTATTCTACAGCCCTCTCCTCGTCACATATCAATGAATATGTCAATACCTACTGAAGCTAAACCATTCAAGAGCTGTGATACCCTACCATTATATAGAGCTGGTTTCGTGACTAGTTGGCTATTATTTAGTAGCTCCGAGGATTCCTTCATTCCATTAATTCTGCAATATCTAAGCAGTTGCGATGCTCAAGACGTATTCCTATACGCAAGCTTTTGACACGAATACATTAGATCAAATCATATCATCTTCGTGCATTTCATGCTCGTACTTTCACTAAATATCCCTTTTCCGTCATGCTGCCTAGCCCTTTCACCACTATAGCGACGCTAAGCCAAAAAGAGCTCCTTCCTCCATTACGTCGCGCCCAACACCATAAATTTGAAACCCCTCTTTCTCCAAGCACATTCACTTTTCCTGTCACACTTTCCTGCACCTCTGTCTGCACAATCTGCCACCTTGACAATTACTCCAATCCGTTGTTATCAGTCCAGAGCACACTGCCGTAATGAAGTGCGCACAAGGATGGTGGCTCTTCTCTGTGATAACCAATGCTGCTGTGATTCAACAGAGAGCTTTGCCTAACTATCCTGGCATTCAATTCTCTTCTAATGGAAAGCTATCGATCACAGTCTTCAGTGATCTTCACTTTGGCGAACGTAAGTCACTACATCTCCTTGCGTTTGTAACCAGCAGTTACTTAACATATTACAGCTTCATATGTGCGAAATCGCCCTTATGCAGATCTCAAGACCATGGGAGTTATGAACTCTGTATTGGACAATGAACGACCTGACTTTGTAGTACTCAATGGTGACCTTGTTTCTTGCGAATGGGTCGCACCTGCCGATGCCAACAAGCTCATCGATCAAATTGTGGCACCTCTGGTTGACCGCAATCTACCTTTCGGCGCGACATTTGGCAACCATGATGCTTCGAAGACATGCAGCACACTCTCCATGTCAGAGCACATGTGGTGGGATGTCAAAGGCAAGAACGGTCGAAAGCTATCATTCACAACGCAGTCTGTAGTTGGTGAGGTCGATAAGGTAGGCTGGAGCAACTACTTTGTGCCTGTTTATAGTTCCACAAATGGTGGCGATCTCAAGATGTTGCTCTGGTTCTTCGATAGCAAGGGTGGTCGTAAGTATCAGCCGACTGGCGAAGACGTTGGGGTTCCAAGTTGGGTAGACGGAAAGGTAAGTCATCCCTACAACATACACGACGGCACTGACTTTGCAGGTTGTCGACTGGTTCCACAGAACCAACGCTGCTTTCCGCCAGCAATATGGTCGCGCAATTCCAAGCATGGCCTTTGTACACATCCCAGTATTCGCAACAAGGGCATTCCAGGAAAACGACCACACGCGCACTGCCAACCCTGGCATCAATGAAGAGCGCATCGGACATCAGGGCGATGTTTGTGATAGCCAGGGCAACAATTGCAAATACAATGGCGCTGATATACCTTTCATGAAGGCGCTTGTCGAGACTGAAGGACTCATGGCGGTATTTTCAGGCCACGACCATGGTGTCGACTGGTGCATGAAATGGTCCAAAAATCTTCCCAATACCACGCCAAGCAACGGGAATGGGCTTAACATATGCTTCAATCGACACTCTGGTTACGGTGGATACTCAGATTGGACACGTGGAGCGCGCCAAATTGTTGTAGGTGAAGACATGTTAGGCAAGAACATTGTCGACACTTGGATCCGTTTGGAGAATGGAAAAATCTCAGGAAGAGTAACTCTCAACAACACTTTTGGAACCGATCAGTACTCGGCGGCGGACACGTCAAAGACTTCGGCTCCATAGTTCAAGCCCAGGCCTGCCACGGCGCGGCCCGAAGCGTGGGACCATCAGTAAGTCAAACTTCAACTTTGGATCTGCACCAGCATAGGTACTAAGTGTGGTTTTCAGAGAAACTACAATGAACTCCACCATGTTATGAAACGATTGTCAGGGAAGGACAGGACCTAACAAACAATAATCTTCTCGGGGCTTAGACTTCTATACTTAGGTTATGCATGTTTTCCTGGAGGACGGGTGCTTGCCTGATATACGTGTTTGCGATTAGGAGGTGTACCTGCATAATCATAGGCAGTGCCTTAATATTAATGTTTAATTCTGTTTGCTGATATCCCTCGTTGCCTGTATGTGGGCTGTCAACGTACGCATTGGGCGCTGTGGTGTTGGCTAGAGTGAACAGGCAGGATAGACCGTTTCTAAAGTTATATTCCGGCATGGCCATCTTGAACACTAAGATTGACAGTTGTACGATCTTATAGTCTGTACATTGTTGACTGACACGCGCGTACATTTGTTGGTGGAGGCTATGCACGACCCCTTTCGAGGTAGCAGTGCGAGGCTAAAACGGAGTTATGACATCATACCCTAGTGACAAAACTACTCCTCTAGTTTCCCGACCACGCCCGCAACATCGGCCGACGGACCAAGCGCGTATCTAAAACTGTTAAGTTTGGGCAAGCATGGCGACAAGACTTGGACATTCTCTACTTTTAGCTGCTGTACCGCTTGTTACGCCCTAAGCCCTGAGCCCTGCTCCTCAGGCCCCCTGCTTTACCTTTCTTCCGTGTTTATTTACTCCAATGATACCCTAGGTCTTACCCGGAATCACCGCTTTACATCCACCATGTCTTTCCTCCAACGCCAAACAACGCGCATCACTGGTACTGAGAATGGCGAACGCCGGCACAGCTTCCTCAATATTTCATCGGAAGGCAAAGTACCCAATGCGAAGAAGCCTCGCTCCCGACCGCCCACATCGCTACGCGACCATCTCCCCTTTCCAAACTCGGCACTATGCCCCGCGTCAGGGCCATACTCCATTGGCAGCATGGAGATTGAAGTCCCTGTCGAATCTCCTCGATCTATATCCAATATTAAGCGAAATGGCAGGCATCTTTTGCAGTTAGAAACCGTGCTATTCACACTGTACTATCCGGCTTCAATCGGAAATGGATCTGGTATTGCACCAGGAGGGGAGAAGAAATGGAGTCGGGAAACGTGGCTCCCAAGACCAAGAATAGAGACGGCCAAGGGATATTCGCGGTTCGCAGGGATACCAAGCGTTGTGGGTATTGGAGTGTCCGGTGCCACCACGATGCTCACAAAGTTGCGTGCATACCGGAATAGTCCCCCTGCCACACACTGGCCCCCTGAGGGGAATTCGAAGAAGAACGGATACAAGATCAAGAACCAACAAGGCCATCCGCCTGAAGGCATGAGTGGGGAGCCAACGTTCCCTCTGCTAATGTTCAGCCATGGTCTGGGTGGTTCGAGAACTGCATATAGTAGTCTGTGCTCTGAGTTTGCAAGCTATGGTTTTGTCGTATGTGCTGTGGAGCACCGCGATGGTAGTGGACCTCGCACTTTTGTGAATCACAAGAAGCGAGGAGAGGAAGGAAAAGATACACATGACCAAAGCAGTCAAAGTGACCCTATAGGGGGTGGACATGAGGAAAACGAGAAAGATTCCGACGAGTTTCGCCACTTACATCATACGGAGGAAGAGATTGCGCAGGGCTATCACTACGTGGTTCGTACTCTTTTATCTCCTCTGGTGGCCGGGCAAAAGCAACGGCAACGGACTGACGATTCTAGGACTATATCTTCCCCAAAAATAACCCCAAAGATACTTCACCAAACAACGTAAACGGCGTTGACAGTGAGCTGCGTAGTGCTCAGATCGAAATGCGTCTTTGCGAACTTGAAGAAGCGTATCGTGTACTGAAGATTATCTGCGCTGGCGATGGCAATCAAATTGCAGAGCAGAATCTACGGGGAAAGGGTTATATAGGTGGCTCATCGAGAGGCCTGAACGGGGTTGATTGGTCTCAGTGGAAAAATCGGTTTTCTGTAGACAAGATGACCATGGCTGGTCATAGCTTTGGAGCGGCGACCGTGGTTGAAGTCCTCAGACATACAAATCGATTCACAAACGTGCAGGCAGGCATCATCTATGACATCTGGGGGCATGTTTCCTCCTATCCCATACTCAAAGAGTACTGCTAATATGGCCATAGTGCTCCTATCAAGCCACCGTCGGACGATCCTAAACATCGAATACACCTTCCACTGCTTGGTATTGCTAGTGAAGCATTCATGTACTGGGAGAAGAACTGGAACGCATCAATGTCCCTCATGAAAGAAGCCAGTGAACATGGAGCACCAGCATATTTGCTGACTGTCCGAGGCTCTGTACATATCAACCAAAGCGACTTCTCAATCTTGTACAGACACTTGACATCCTTTTTTATGAAGGCTACCGTCAATCCAGAAAGAGCTATTGACCTCAATGTGGGAACAAGTCTCGAATTCCTACGGCTCGTCACGCCTGACAGTGGCGGAGGAAAATCCATTATAAATCGTTGCATGACTGACGAGCATATACTTCAAACACCAATGATGGAGGAGACACCAAACGACAATCGGCCAGATGATGAATGGATAGCGGCCCGTTTGCGTGTGGACAATCCGTTCAAGACACGCCTTGCTTCCGGGCTTCAGAGAAAGTTCAAGCGCAACGTCCGGGAAAGTGCTGGCGAAGGATACACGACTTCGGATGAGATGTGGTGTTTCTTCAAACCAACAGACAAAGGATTGCAGAAGTGGATCGATAACGAAGACAAAGGTGAAAAGCGCATCGATGAAGACCATGCCACTGTGTTCGATAGAGAACGACAGAATAGCGCCATGTCGATGACGGATGATTCTGGTCAAGATGCATTGCTGAGTGATGCTGAGAAAGACGACAAGTCCTTGCAAAGCGAGGGCATCGCCGGCTCTAAAGAATGTTCAAGCTCACAAACACACCGAGATTGCTCTCCACAGTCTGTACGCAACAAGTACCATAACGAGGAGCAGACTAATAGTGGGGATAGTGGGACCGGGAGGGTCTCGACCGCTGCAAGATCGACGGAAGAAGCGCTTGCCAAGGCTTAAACCAATAGGACCCTCTATTCAGACACGGGCCGTGTCATTCATTGGCATAGCCAGACATGAAGTCACGGTTGACAGTTCAGGATTGTTTATTTGGACAGCACAATGTTTGTTGGGCACAGAAGAGACTACATCTAGTTGTGTTGGCTCAAAAGAATTATAGGTCGTGGAAATAATGCCGTGCTTGGGCTATGCTAATCGCTAATCGAGCTAAGCATATGACTGCTTATGATCCATAGAAATGCCAGGATACTTGCTGAATCAACCTCCTTGGAATTTCTGAGATGGGGTTGTGGTCATCGTGTCAGAGAACAAGGTTGGGCCCTGGTATGCGTATTCAGATATAGCAATCCTCATGAGCCAAGTTTCAAGTGGGGGACGCTACTTGATCCTAGAAGATCGATATCTATCATATAGCACTTCTAATTTTGGAGCAGAAGCATGGCATTCTCAGAATACTCGGTGCACATTGACATCGCTAGTTCACGTGAGCAGGCTTGGCCTGTGCCAAAGCGGGGGTTCACCGTTCAGTATCAATCGCGCTTGCAACTCTCTCGGCCAACACGATCCCGTCCACGACGATTTGAAGTTCAACTTTATCAGCCTGGCACCTCGAGTTTCAGAACCCGGTGGTCAGCAAAGTGTAAGCGTACCTGAAGTACATTGCTTTCCTAGCTCAATCAAGGGACGACACGGACCCCTTGGCGAAAACATCACCTCGTATATGCAATCGCCGACTGCATCAGGAATCACACAGCAGCCGCTTGGTCAGCGTGCAGAAAGGGCATGCGCTAGGACAGTGAGGCGACGGGCCGTTGATCAGCCCTGAACATTCTCCGCTACTTCCGCTGCACCGGCGGCATTCGGGACCACCTTTGCTTTTCGAAGGAAGCTGGCTGGCTGGCGCCACGCGTGAACCCTGAGGCAAAGGATTCCAACAACCGGTTATTTATTTGTCTACGACAACCACCTCCTGTCATTACAAGCACACTCCATCGTGCTGAGATTACTTTTCTCCAAAATCACCTTCGTTCCAATAAAACTATTGTTTGCCCGTCACGTGGTGGATACTGGGGTTGATCACGACACGGCAATATCGGCCAAGCCCGCTTCCGTACCGATCTTGCACATCAGTGGCCGGAGCGACCCAGTCGTATCCTCACCTCTGGATTGCTGTTCACTTCGCATCATCGCGAGAACAAAAATAGGAAATCATGACGAGCTCTGAGTCAGAAGAACATGCGCAACAGTCGCGAAAACGCTCGCGCACAAGCAGTAGCGGTGACAACGGGTCTGGGAAGAAGACAAGGGGACGGCCCCGTGTGGATACCCAGGATGCCACGGCAGCGGATGTGAGTGGATACTCTCCCCTTTACCGCGAACTGATATGGACTCTGTGCAACGAGGGCTCGTTCAAGGACCGCATCAACGCTTGCAGCTGAAGATCTCGAGCTGTTGATGCGGACAGGGATCTCAGACCTGCGCGTTCGAACCTCTGTTGGTTCATTCCAAACCATCTGTCGATTTTGAAAGCCGCTAGTTGAAAGTCATCTTACCGCGAGCCTTTTCGTCTTACTCAAGGGCAACTCAATATGCATATTGTCACTGACAAAGGCGCTAGCGGCGAAGAACGCAAATTCGACTCGCACAGCGCGCATACCGCCAGCGGAAAGAGACCACTATCGCTTCATTAAAAAAGCAAACAGCGCAGCTCCATTCTATCATTGAGCAGATGAACAACAGTTTTCATCGGCTCACGGAATCAACACTGAGATCGGGCTTATTACAGCTGAATCCTGATCTAGCCCAAGAATTTAAACTCGTTAAAGAGACTTTTTCGAGTTTGGCCAGAACAGCGAGCGAGAGCCAGCGTCAAGTAGACGAGGATGTCGAGCAAGGAGCTGAAGGGACAGGCCCGCGCAAACCGCCCGAGCCTGAACCTGAACCTGAGCATGTTGGCTGGGGGTATTTTGCTGTCTCGCAGCAGCCCAACAAGGTATGTAAAGCTCATGACGAAAAACTCACGGCTAGCTATGATTCTACATCCTCTTGGAATATTCGTAGCCTGGCTGACGGTGTTGCTCAGGATCAGGCGCCACAAAACCTTCCAGTGCCAGACAGTTACTCTTCGCACTTCAGTACTATAGTCGACCAATCGGCTCCCAGCATCATCAGTCACAGTCAATATGTTCTTGGGGAGCAATCGGGACAGACCCATCACATCTCACAGTCTGTGTCCGAATCACTACCCGCTGGCATGGTACCACAACAGGAATTGCCGTTTGGCCTGGTTCCTGTCCATGACCAACAACAGACACCGTACGAAACATCAAACTTCCACACCTACCCCGCCAACATGCCAGCGTCTGATATGGCTCCTGCAACGACCAACTTACCGACACCCTCTCTGTCGATCTCAGATCTGTCAATGAAGACCCTGAGTCCCGTGTGGACATATAATCATAACGAATCGACTGTGGGCAGGAGGTTGGCCAGAGCAGCAGTAGAGACAGGATTCGCCGTGCTTACCCATCTCAATTATTCACCCTCGGTACGTATGCGAATCATATGCCAGCTAGCTGAGTTACTGGAGGCTCTTGCGGCAGCCATCTATCATCACGTTTTTCTCGATTGAACTGACTATAAAATTCAGATTATCAACTATATCTTTAGACTTAACTTTCCACACTATAATGTCGACCAAATAAAGCAACGTTTCCAAGAAGTCATGTCAAAGACGGTTGTTGAGGATCTAGACTGGTTTGAGGCGCCTTTCGCCCCCCTTGGAGGTGCAGGGACCCACTATCCGCGACGAGATGCAGCAGGCAACATTGTATCAAGAAAGGATTCCTGGGCACCAGAGTGGATCGGGCCGAGAGAGAAGAGATTGGAAGGGTGGGGGAATGTAGAAGGCAGGGCAGCTCAGTACCTACGTGCGGTGGACCTTGCTGGTTTCGAAGGCGAATGGTTTGATGCCCATGACGTGCAGGGATATCTGGAGGAGCACTATGCGTGCAAGTTCAACCCCTCAAGTTCGTTTGCGGAGTGCCTGATCGATATCGAAGACGAAGGTCCAACAAACTCGTACGCCAACATGCCACAACAGGCACAAACAAACGTAGGAGCTACCCCGAACAATGGGTTCGGCATGGATACGTCCTTTGGTGGCACCTCCGCGCCCAAGTATGCGGGTGATTTCACCCAGCTTGTCAACCACGACATTTCCTTTGATCAGACGCTAGGACTGGATCTCGCGCCTGGATTCGACTACGGCTTCGCGAATAGCACAAGTTTTGGTACTGGGCCAGGGCTACGCGCCATGGGCGATGATTTGAAGGGCCTGCAAGTGGTGAAGCAGAGGAAGAGATGCGCGTGGATTGACGTCTCGCGGCTGATTTTCGGTAAGTTTACACGATTTCTTTTTTCTTTTGGAGTTTGTGATGCAATCCATCAACGTGGGTAAATTATTTGGCTGACGATTGCGACAGAGATAGTTCAACATGCAGTTTGCCTTGGGCGTACGCCAGGATTCAGGCGCAAAGACGTTGACCAGGCGGTACGGGAGGCTTTGATCAAAGAGAGTTGATGATCAGTACTACTTACAGGACAGGGGCTAGCACACGAAACAAATAGGCTTGGATTTACTTCTTCGGTGGCATCATTGGGGGCGGGCTTGGAAGAAAACTTGACAGCATGGTGATAGATAGCAATACGAGTGTCTATGTGCTTGTGTGAATGCGTGCATGTCTATGGGTGCCCGATTGTGTTTGGGTCCAGCCATAGCAATTGCCTGGCGTTGGTTTCGCAATTGCAATGAGTAGAGTACATAGATTTGGGTAAGAGCAGCTGAAGGCAAGGTCACGTGCGGCGCTAGAGTAGCTCGGGGCGCTAAGGAATCGCGCCCTCAGCGATTGCCGGGGCACCGTTCACTATCACTCATACACCCCACGACCACGACAGCTGAGGGCACCCGATCACGTTGTATAAAGGCTTCCGTCTGGGCAAACAATAGCCATAGATCACCCCTAATAGCGCAGAAGCTTCCTCGAGCGTGGCACCCATTTGCAGCCTCAAGCGCTGACGTCGTCTGCCTGGTTCCTGCAAGCCTTCGCGACCTCTTGTCCAGCGTCCACAGAGCCCAGAGATTATACTAGATAGCTGAGAAACACCAAGCAACCGCCGCCATGTCGAACTCGGTCGTGGTTAGTATTCCCTGGACGGTGCACGCGTGCGCGCGCGAGCGAATGGTGCGAGGGTAAAGGCAGGCTTGCTAACAGCGACCACCAGGGCGGAGTCTACCAGCAAATCATGGAGAAGGTTATCCAGGCGTCCCAGAACGACTTTGAGGAGTCGGGCGTCGACCAAAGCACTCTGGAAGAGATGAAGCAGGTACGTTGCAACCTGGCCAGTATCTTGGCTGTCGCGCCTTTCCTTGCCTCGGTCGCAGCATGGCAGCCATCGCGCTTCTATGCCCGCGCCACGGCGGCCATGGTTTCCCCCCAGTTCAACTTGATCGGATATTTGGTCGCATCGTTTCTTCTGCTCGCTGCGACAATGGCGCGATGGCTGCCTGGCTTTGGGGGTGATGGGCGGCTGAAAGCGGGGCTGAGTTGCCGGTCGGTCTGGCAGCTTTCGGGGGCGACTCAGTATTTGGGTCGCCTTCTTATAGCCCCTGCACAGCTCCCCCACCCGCCAAGCTCCGTGCATCCTTTCCCGAACCGTCATAGCTCATCATGTGACGGCCCTCTAAGCATTCTGCCTTCAATCATGCTTTTATTGCCAGCAGCCACTAACCATGCATAGGGTTGGCAAGAGAGATTGTCAGCGCTCAAGATTGCCCATCTGCCATGGGACCCCGCCCCAGAGCCTGTCCGCCAGCCGGCTACGTTGCCCTCTAATGTCAAGGTCGATAATGAAATTCCACCGTCCACTGGGTCAGTCAACACGGAGGGCGGCTACCAGCAACCTATTCCCAACTATCCACAGGCCCAACCTGCGACCAACGGATACAATGGCGGTTATGACCAAAATTCACAGTTGGCGCAACAGCGGGCTGCTGCTCTGATTCAGCAACGTGTGCAGCAGCAAGGCAATGTACACCAGCAAAACTATCCCAACATGCCTCAACAAGGCCATTTGCCGCAGATGCCAATGCAAGGTCAGCAGCAGCGCATGATGGCCCCTCAACAGCAGCAGCAACACCAACAGCAAATGCAGCAGCAACAGCAGATGCAGCAGCAACGACCTCCTCATTCAAATCAGATGTACACATCGCAGACGGATGGCACTGATGATTCTCTGGCTGATTGGGAGGCGTTCAAGGCTGCGCGTGCTGCTTCAGCTGTCGAGCGCATGGCAGCCGACGACTTTATGCGTGCCCGCGTTGATGCCATGGCGATGCGCCAAGATAGCGGCCTGATGGTGCCTCTGGACTCGATGCCGAAAGGCAAGAAGCGAAAGGCTGCTGTTCGTGTCCTACAAGCCGAAGATGCTGCAGCTTCAACCAATGTCTCCCCGCCTGCTCGCTTTGACGGTGACGACGACGTCAAGTTGGAGGAGGATCCCGACGATGCCATCAATTCTGACCTCGACGATTCAGAGGATGAGCTGAATGACGGCGACAATAGCGACGACGACATGGTGGACTACATGCTGTGCACCTATGACAAAGTCCAGCGCGTCAAGAACAAGTGGAAGTGCACTCTCAAGGACGGCATCCTCACCACGAACAAGAAGGAGTAAGTCTAGTCCCTACAGAAGTTTACTTATCCGTTGCAAGCATACTAACAGACGACAGATATCTCTTCCACAAGGCAAATGGTGAATTCGAATGGTAGATAAAAACCACCAGCAAACCACACTAATACCCGTGGTAGCTGAACTCGAGTTCTAAAGTCCCCTTCCTCCAGCGCGCACACAAACGGCACAGCACACGTCCCCTACCCAAGACGCAGAAAGCCCTCTCACACAACATGGACAACTACCATTTGTACACTACCAAGACATGAATCAACTTTCCGTTACTCTCTCTCTCTCTTTGTTATCTTTCCCAATGACCGTTATTCTAGCGTTTTCGAATAACAAACGCCCAGTAGCCTGAATGGCAAGAAGCATACTCAGATTGGATCCCTTATTTTCCTCACCGCCTGATCAAACTCTTTTTTTTTCTTAACGACTATTCTGCGAAAAATGTATACACATAAATAAATATCATCCTCAAAGGAAAGAAAGAAGAGAATTTATTTCAAAATGTTGGGAAATAGCCAAAATCCTGACGTTCATCAGCTGGTTCGTCGATTGCATTTTCTCAAATTGACATTTCCTTTTCTTTTCCAGTTTTTTTTTCGATCGAGGAGGGGTGAGACTTGGTGCTAAAAGCGATGCATAGAAGAAAATGGAGAGAATACGAAGAGCAAAGTTCCGGCTAGCTGGCTTCCCCCATCACCCCACAACCCAGGCGTCGTCGGCTCTCCTTTTGTTTCCTAGTTTTTTCTTTTTGTTCAGTATGAATGTCCCATGTGTTGGCATACATTTTCTGGTTTCTTGTTTTCAAGTGATTGGGTTTTAGTGTCAAATGGGAGACCGAGGAAGAGCAAGGAGAGGGTCTCGGGACGATATCGCAGTTCAGTAATCGATTCATCAACTCTGCAAATGGTTTTTTTTTCGGGTGGGAGTTGAGATGTTAGGTCAATCGTGCACTGGGGGTCTTTTTCAAGGGGCTTTCTCTTTCAAGTTTACCATGGGCACGAACGTCTAGCTGTTCAATCCGACAAACAAAGAAACCCGCAGCTGTTGGAAAATTGAAGATGTCCATGTACTCCAGACTAGATTCTTGTTATATTCGGTGGTGCATGTCCCATGTCCATTACAGTGTACCATCGTCACTCGTTTCATCGCCCACAGATGCATTCTGCATGATTGTCTCGTCAATGTGTCCCGCCTCCGCCTCGTCATCGTCATCATCCACAAGCGGCACGAAGCGAAAATCTACAAACCCGTTTTTGCCAGCTGCAAGTGATCCTGCACCACTAGTACCCGGGCCAGGAGCGGGGCTCTCGACTTCAATCATGAATTGCAGACTCAGCACACCCTGTATGTCTGCGCGTATGCTGACTTTGCTAGCGACGCTCATTGCACGTGCGGCCTTTTGTATCAAGCTGAACTTGTAGCTTGAGCGAAAGACGGTGTCAGGATCACTGAGCTGGAATCTCTCAAGAAGGTTTGTTGGAGGGACCGCAGCTGTATCACTAGTCGCGTTGAGGTTTGTGGATGCTGGGGTGCGATATGCAGAGGGTTGAAGCTGGTTGTTGAATTCGACGCGTGCAGAGCCTAGTGTGCCTGATGACGAGAGTGCGAAGAAGGGCTTTCCGCGCACGGTTTTGGCGTACATGGTCAACTTTTCTGGGCTCGTAGATGATAGTTCTTGGATCGCGTCATAAAGCCAGCTGCCTCGCATGATGACCTTGAGCACAAGGGCATCGCGATCAAACGGAATCTCGTCGGCGTATTCAGGCTTATAGGTTGTCAAGTCGCATTGCGTGCGTATACTCAGTTCCGTCAATGTGACTGCTAGTGGAGAACCCTCGCCTTGATAACTAATGCGACACATGTTGTTCATGCCATTCATTATGTTGTTGCCCGTAAAGGCAGTGCTGGTGGGGTAAGGCGCGTCGCGGGCCCATGGTGGTTTGGAATTGGCGGGGTCGGTGAGGCCGAATATTTGAAGTGTCTCCAGAAGGGCAGGCAGCGATATTTGGAAGACGGGCGTCGGTTCGGATGCATCGTCAGAATCGTTGAAGGCGTAGGTTGTAAAGAGGGATTTGTCAAGGAAGGCGGACGCTATTGTGTGTTTAGTTTGGAAAAGGCGCAAATGAACAGGCAGATGCATGCGTACCTTCCATGACACTTGCTTCATCGACGGCAAGTTTGAGGCCTATGTCGCTAATCTGGACGTGCGCTTTGTTTGAAAAGGCGATACATCGCAGTAGCTGGTACAGCTGACGCGCTGAACTCGACACGGCCGTAAGAACGGGCTGGTCTTGGTCATCCATTCTACTGTAGGGTGATTGTATCTGAGGGAATAGTTATGGGGGTGGTAAAGCTATGGTCGAAACGATGGTGGAATAGTGTATGACGCATGCAGATTCGAGCGTCTTGAACTTTTTATTGGTATTCCATAAATTGTACACACAAGAGGTCCCTTCCCAACGCCGGATGGATATAACACGAAAACTAGACGTATACGCCGACTGCGCAAATCATGTACACAGCGCCGAAGCTGCTCGCGGTCAGTACGGGAGAGGGCGTATCGATACTGGAGGCCACGTACCCGAATGCCAGTGATGCCGGAACCCCGAGAATTGGCAGGTTGACGAGGGATCGGTCTGTAAGGATACGTGTGAGTGACTGCGGAGTGAATACGAGAGTGGACGTGTTGGACATACTCAAGCCAAAGATGGTGGTCAGGACGAGGGCTACGCATACTGTTAGTATAGCTCTATGCGAGCACCAGAAGGGTCCGGAGCGCAACATACATGCAGCCAGCAGTACAAAGCCGACGGTGAATTGCGTATCCTTTCCGATGGTAGGATGAAAGGGCTGGGAAGCAGCAGCCTCCCAGACGTCTAGAAGCGGGCTCGACATTTGTGCAGTATTGGCAATTGGAAGTTGATTCGGGAGTCTCTCGTGAAGCTGCTGCCGTGGCCTCTGGACGGCGGTGTTCTCTGGCCGCCGCGTGCTGTGATTGGTTGTCGGCCTGTCGGTCAATGCGGAAGGCGCGACTTGCCCTGACGTTTGTTCAGTCAACCACCAGGGCAACGGAAGGCGCGACCAGACACGAGAAGGCGCTCAACACCGCAGAAGGCGCTGAACACCACATCATGGCGGGCGCAACTGAAGATAGTAAGTGCGCAGCTTCTTCATCCTCCAAGTCCCCCTCGTCCGCGCGCACTCGGCCTTGCACGCCTGTCGCGCACCTAGCATGCCGTCTCCCCGCAACAACATCCCGCATCTGCGCGACCTCTTGGGCTATCCCACCTCTCCCCCGTCTTCACCTCTCCCCATACCCACTCATGCTGCACGTGACTCGTCTCCAGATGTCCCCTTGAATCTGCAAAAAGCTGACCCCTCGTCCCATCCAGCCAAGCGCAAAGCGACCACCGATCCTCCCAACGCCTCCCCCAAGCGCATAAAGCATAGTCCGCCTACACCTGAACAGACCGACGACGCCCCCGCGCCCCCAGTCAAAAGGATAGTACCCTTTCCAGAAAAGCCTGCGGTTATCGAGGAGCGCAATGGCGAGATTGAGTTCAGAGTCGTCAACAACGATGGCCGGAGGGAAAGCACAATCATCTTGACGGGCTTAAAGTGTATCTTCCAGAAGCAGCTGCCCAAGATGCCCAAGGACTACATTGCTCGTCTCGTCTACGATCGAACGCACTTGAGTATAGCCATTGTGAAACACCCGCTTGAAGTGGTAGGGTGCGTCGCCACCTGTTGCCTCCCGTTCGTGTAGTATCAAACGCTGACTATCATGTACCACAGAGGCATAACTTACCGCCCCTTTGACAAGGGCCAGTTCGCCGAAATTGTCTTTTGCGCCATCTCATCGGACCAGCAGGTCAAGGGTTACGGCGCCCATCTCATGTCGCATCTGAAAGACTACGTCAAGGCCACATCCAAAGTCATGCACTTTCTCACCTACGCCGACAACTACGCTATTGGATATTTCAAGAAACAGGGCTTCACCAAGGAAATCACATTGGAAAAGTCGCGATGGATGGGCTACATCAAGGACTACGAGGGCGGTACCATCATGCAATGCAGCATGGTTCCCAAGATCCGCTACCTCGAATCTGGCCGAATGCTTCTCAAGCAAAAAGAGTGCGCAAATGCCAAAATAATGGCTGTAAGCAAGAGCTATGAGATCCACTCACCACCAGCCCAATGGACAAAGGGGGAACTCAAACCCATCGACCCCCTCACCATCCCCGCCATCAAAGACTCCGGCTGGTCCCCCGTCATGGACGAACTCGCCCGCGCCCCGCGCCACGGCCCCAACTACAACGCCCTCCTCCACCTCCTCAACGACATGCAGAACAACAGCAATGCCTGGCCCTTTCAACAACCTGTTAACAAAGATGAAGTTCTGGATTACTACGACGTCATCAAGGAGCCCATGGACCTCGCTACCATGGAGGAGAAGCATGAAAAGGATCTTTATCCCAACCCAGAGGACTTCATCAGAGATGCTAAGCTTATCTTTGATAATTGTCGCAAGTATAATAATGAGAGCACGCCGTATGCTAAGGCTGCAAATCGACTCGAGAGGTACATGTGGCAGCGTATACGTGATATACCAGAGTGGTCGGTACGTATTATTTATACCCCTGTTTGGAGTGATGGTATATTTGCTAACCTGTTCGCAGCATTTGGAAGGGGAAATGACGGGCAAGTGAGAGGGGATATTCGTTTTTTATCAGTCTTTTACAGGAGTTGGAGGAGAAAAGGACGGGGGATATGTTGTGTTATACTTTCAGCGGCATTGGGCATGGTGTACGGTGTATGGGTGTTGTAGATTGACTCGGCTTGTATATACCCCCTTGTCGTATGCTATTCCATCTTACTGTGTTTTTTGTGTCTTGAGGTGCAGGAATACTAGCCAGATGTATACCCCCTTTGCGCATGTAGTGTGTTGCTGAGCGGCTAGCCGTTCAAAAGGTTCAACCAGTTACTTAAGTAATTTCCCGAGCGACGAATCCAGAGTGGCCTCACAGGAAAAAGCGAGTTCACACAGCCGTACCTGTGCCTGATTTTGAAAAACAAACAGATAGAGTTAGCTTCGGGGTCCCCGCTCTCTCAGCTCATCCTTCGTTTGTCTACGCGCAAAAAAAACAACAGAAACATGTGTCTCAACAGTCGTGGGATGCCCAACCTGATATCCATCACGACATCAACAACTTTTACCAACTTTCAATCTTACAAAACTTCCCCTAGTTCTATCGCCCTCAGTTTTAATCGCAAAACACGAGAGTCTACACATGTACGCTCAAGTCACATGTGAAAGACATTTCCCCAGCCGCCTCTAACCCCATTACTTTTACCCCGTGCTGAGACCCTCATCATGTGGATCCCGTCCCCCCCCCCCCTCTCAAATACCAAGCTTTTTGGGAAATAAAGGGGGGGGGGGGGGGGAAGCGCGGAGACTAAAGTCGATGAGGGGAAGCACGAGATCGCGGTGTGTGTGTACACTAAGTCTGGTGGGAGACTAAAGTACTTAGATGGCTAATTCAAGGGTCTGAGTGAGAGCTCGTTGGTCAGCTCAATTGGCGAGCATGATGGCTAAAAAAAAAAAGGACCAATGAAAGCAATTCGCTCTCTCTATCCGCAAAGCTATGTGAACGATAAACTGCAAATTCTATAATTTTTTGCATTGCTTTCAATTCAGGCATCCAGAAAAAAAAGGTTGCGGCTGCAAAGGATTGAGGGGGGGAGGAGGCAAGGCCAGGGCTATTATGTACTGTAAATTGTAAAAAGTTCAGCGAAAACCGCGGAAAGCCGCCCGAGCCGAATTGAGATGCAACGGCCGAAGTTTTGCGGGGTTTAGCCGACGACCTCCGCGTTATCGTAAGTGCGCGTCTCCCCGTCAAATCGAGATACTCGGAGAAAAATAAAGAAGCGAAATATGTTTCCTGAAAAAAAAAGAACGTCTTATGATGTAATAAATCTCTTTTTCCTGAAGATGGAATGGTTCGCAATGTTTTTAAGTGATGATGAAATCGGAACTACTAAACCCACACCCAAAAAAAAAGGGGATTAAACCCATAGCAGCAAGTTTCTGGGTCCGCTGCGGGGAAAATAAAAGAGGGAAAAGGATTAGTAGGGGTTAAAGCGGGAGAGAAGAGCAAGTGCCAGTGCCATACATACACGCCGCGGATCTCCTCGCTCTCTCGCTTTCTCTCTAGCTCTCCAATGATGATGATCATCTGGTCTCACCATGCATTACGGGAATCTCTTCCCCCGCTCCTTCAGACACACTACATATAGATCCAAAAGGCATTTGCAGGCGAAGTCCGCAAGCCTCGATTCGGCGCATATACCGAAATGCGCAACCTTGTTGATAAGAATCCTAATCGTTGTGCTGCAGGTCACCATGTAAGACCTTAGTGCCGACCTGGCTATCGGGATGGCTTGAACGATAATGATGGGGAGTGGATGGAAATGGCGCCGGGGGCGGCTGTTCTTTTTTTTTGCTGCAAGCACCGAGTGTGGCCGAGAGAGAGATAGATAACTTAGGTTTCGGAGCCCAAAAACCAATCCGAATGTCCTCTTTTTTTGGTGCCTTTCGTTGGCAATTGGGTTTACGGGTGCGAATGTTGCGTCACATGGCCCCGTATGTTAGGTAGTTGGTGCGTGGGTCAGCACAGGTGCAGGGTGGAGGTTTTGCCACAAGTAAGCGGGTATTAGTAGCCACAAAATCTTGAAGAGAGAAAAAAGGCTTTTGATGATATTCGGCTGGGGTCTTGTCTTGTGGTTGCATAGATGATGTCCTTTCTTCCTGTTGTTCCCTGCGTACACGTGCTTGTAAACCATTTGGCATGGTGCATGCGGAGTCCCGTTGGTTTGGTATAGCCAAGGACGAGTCGCTCGGGGAAGACGACGGTGGTTCGTGCTGCAAGGCCAGAGGCTGGGTGGGGAGAGTAGTCGATGCGAGGCCGAAAAGAGGTGCTCAACCGAGGAGGGGGCGCATATTCGCCGCCGCTTATCACGGCTAGGGACATGGTCCAGCACGTTCATCTCCGTGATTGGTCAATGCGCGCGGTGTCAAGACTGGGGAGCAGATAAGAACCCGGTAAGCGTTACAGAGGCGTGCAAAGGCGGCCGGTACTGCGAGCACTGCGAGGAGCGAGTAAGCGGTCCCCAACCACACACTATAGCCTTCTGGAAAGCCCAGACAGGCGGGCAGACCAATCGAGGCCTGCGATACTGTGCTGTGCCCATGTCCAAAGAGGCAGTTGCCAAGTGACATCTTGGACCGCCCGTATGGCTGCTTTGCACTGTCTGGGCCGGCGACGGTGCGAATCGCCCTCCACTTTGGCCGTAGCGCGAGCCACGGTGCGAAAATATAATTCCCCGTCCTGGCCGGCTCGAGAGAGAAGAGAGAGAGCCAACAGTTCTTCATTGTTCAACCTCTTGCTGGGAACTGCCCCCTCCTCCCTCTTGTTGCCGCTTCGTTGCCATGGCTGATATCCGCGAACCGCACAATGCCTCTCCACAGGAAGGCGTTGCGCGCAACAATGACCCGGCACTAGACATTGCTCGCGAGCACCAACACCCCCACGTGCACCACAGCCCTCGTGCTGCCCACCCAGACAATGTCGTCTACACAACTGGCACCACCGACGAGAAGCCGAGCGAATTCCTCTCCGCCAGCGCTCAAGACAGCCATGCTCACTCGCATCCGGCTATCGCTGATGAGAAGCACGAGCTCGGAAAGAACGGTGGCTACGACTACGAAGTCGAAAAGGCCACTCGCAGCTCTTCCGACCCTGACATGGAAGGTGAAAAGAGGAAGAAGTGGTATTCCCCATCATCTCTGTACAAGAAGTACAGGCTGCTTTTCCACATCTTGATCGGCGCATTTTTCACCGGGTAAGGCGCAACTTTTCTCTCTTTCCAATCGTCCTCGCGCATCGCCCCGTCTAACAGGCCCCCATAGATGGTGGATTGCAAGTCTGGTTGAACATCGCCATGACAAGAACTGGATCATTCCCTTCTTGTTCTGGCTCGCAATCATGATTCGCTTGATCACCTGCCACGTTCCAATCACCGTCGTCACCAAGCCCATGCACTGGGTCTGGACAAACACTGGAACCCGATTCGCCAACCTCATCCCAGAGAAGCTGCGCACGCCCTTGGCTGCTCTTCTCGTTGTTGCCGTCATGATTGTTGGATCCTTTGCCAGCGAGGAAAGCCAAGACAACACTCGTGCCAACCGTGCAGTCTCCCTGTTTGGTCTTTTGGTCTTCATCGCCTTTTTCTGGGCTACTTCGCGTCATCGCAACAAGATTGTGTGGCACACCGTCATTGTCGGTATGCTGCTCCAGTTCATCATTGCCCTCTTCGTTCTCCGCACAACGGCTGGATACGACATTTTCAACTTCATCTCTGAACTCGCCCGCGAGCTGCTGGGTTTCGCCAGAGACGGTGTCTCCTTCTTGACCACTCCGGAGATCTCCCAGTACCAGTTCTTCTTCTTCAGTGTTATCCCGGCCATCATCTTCTTCGTGGCCCTTGTCCAGCTCATGTTCTACTGGGGCATTATCCAGTGGTTCATTGGCAAGTTCGCAGTCTTTTTCTTCTGGTCCATGAGAGTATCTGGTGCCGAGGCCGTCGTCGCTTCCGCATCTCCCTTTATTGGTCAGGGTGAATCCGCCATGTTGATCAGGCCCTTTGTCGCCCACCTTACCATGGCCGAAATCCACCAGGTCATGTGCTCTGGATTTGCTACTATCGCTGGTAGTGTCTTGGTTGCCTACATCGGTATGGGCCTCAACCCTCAGGCTTTGATTTCTTCCTGCGTAATGAGCATTCCCGCTTCCCTGGCTTTCAGCAAGCTGCGATATCCCGAAACCGAAGAGACTCTTACTGCTGGCCGAGTCGTTGTTCCCGATGATGACGAACACAAGCCTGCCAATGCGCTCCATGCCTTTGCTAATGGCGCCTGGCTTGGTCTCAAGATTGCCGGTATGATCATCTCGACGCTCTTGTGTATCATTGCCCTTCTCAACCTGGTTGATGGTCTCCTTACTTGGTGGGGCCGCTACATCAACCTTGATGGAGACTACGACTTGACCCTCGAGTTGATTCTCGGCTACCTGTTTTACCCAATCGCTTTCCTCCTCGGTGTATCTCGCGAGGGCAACGACCTGCTCCTTGTTGGCCGCCTCATTGGTGTCAAGGTCATCACCAACGAATTCGTCGCTTTCTCCGATTTGGTCAACAAAGACAAAGATTCGCCATACCACACTCTGTCCCCTCGATCTCGCGTCATCGCCACCTACGCTCTCTGCGGCTTCGGTAACGTTGGATCGCTCGGTACTCAGATTGGTGTGCTCAGTCAAATCAGCCCAGGTCGCAGCGGCGACGTCTCTCGCGTTGCTGTCTCCGCTCTTATCACGGGTGTCTTCTCCACTCTGTCTAGTGCGACCGTCGCAGGTCTCGTTATCGTAGACCAGGCGAAATTCAGCTCAGGCCAATAGACCCACAAAGGCCCGGGCGTAGCGCCAAATGAGCGCCCTGTTTAATCAGTTACATTTTCGGTGCTACGATAAAATGTCATGTTTCTTAGTTAGTTTTTTTTTGGTGTGAAAGATACCCACCTCAATTCATGGAGCTCCATTACCCATAGACGAATTGACGATACTACCACTTCACCTTCTTTTTCTCAAATAACTTATGTGTGAAGTGAGAATGATGTCGCATTTCCGAGCCGCAAGAGAAGCCAATTTATCATATATGAATCGTCTTCTTTAGCTCCTCGGTCGGGTATGTCACTGCTTGGCGCCGCCCTTTGCTGCACGACATGTTGCCCTAAAGAGGCTTAGCTTACCAATTCAAGTTAGATGGCAGGAACGACATTGCCAGGCTGGTCGAAAACCATCCCATCTCACAGGACACACTACGCGCAAACGACTTTTGAAATATTTGAATGTTTTCTCATTGTATTCAAGACATAGACGACTCCCGTGCTCCATTATAAAACCAACCCAAGCGCAATGCGCGCAATATTCCAAACCAAACATAACTCCCTCGAAGGATATAAGACTGAGTGGGTTCGTTCCTTGAATCCCAATGGGTATCGTAAATCATCAAACTTGCGTTGTCCATTGGACGCTCGAAAGGCCAGTTCTGAATTCTTAAACGCCGTATTGTAAATGCTTCCGAGACGCCTCGCTTGCTGAAATTGGACAAGAGAAGCCATGAATTGGGATCCCAGCCATATTGACAAATATTTCCGAGGGTAGATGTGGAGATCCTTCTCTCTCAAGGAGAAGAGGAGCGCGTCACATACCCAAAACCGAGATGTGATACTTACCAACTTACCGTTGCGCGTAGAGTCGGATGAATGCTACCAGCTTCATTGCGCAAACCGGTAGTTGTAATGTCCGTGCTAGACTATAATTTTTGCTGAGCAAAGTGCTCATTTCCTGCTTGTGGACACGGTACACAAGCTGACTTTCCAGTGTCGTGTTGCATTTACCGGATGGTCATCTGCTTCACAGCGCTGGGCTTTGTGGAAGCAGAGCCAGCAGCAGCAACCGAAGGCTGACCGGGCTTCTTCTCGAAGATCTTCCAGAACTTGAGCGACTCATCGGCAGCAGCAGTGGCGAGCATCTGGCCATCGGGGCTGAGGCAGCTGTGGAGAACACGAGACTCGTGCGCAGGAACTTCCATGTTCTTGACACCAGAGGGGTAACTCCAGATGCTCAAGCTATTGTCAGGGAAGCCACCAGTGCTGACAATCTCCTTGTAGTGGGTGCTCCAGCGAAGGCTGGTGACCTGGGAGTCGGTGGGGATGTGGTTGATGCGCGCACCAGTGGTGGTGTTCCAGAAGTAGATTTGACGGTCGTTGGAACCACCGCCAGTGGCAAGAAGGTTTGATTGCCATGGGCACCATGAAACAGCCTTGACAGCAGCACGGTGGTTGGTCTTGGTGAACTTGGGAGCAGCAAGAGCACGTGCATCCCAGATGTTGACCATGTTGTCGTTGGCGCCAGTGGCGAGCTGGGCACCGTCGGCGCGCCACTCAAGACCGCAGACTTCACCGGTGTGGGAGACGAGCTCAGCAATCTTGTGCTGGGCGACACGGACATCGTGGTTGTAGACAAGACCAGAGCGAGCACCAGTGGACAGGATGTGCTTGTTCCAGCCCATGACACCAACGCGGGTCTCGTGGCCGAACATGCTCCGGAGCTTGGTCTGCTCCTCAACATCCCAGATCTGAACCTCACCCGTACCCAGACCGACACCGACGTATGCGCCATCACCCGACCACTTGACGGACGAGATGTATGTGTCGGCGGGGCACTCGAGAAGGGAGGCTACTGAACCAGTGTCGGCTGACCACACGTAGACGGAGCGCTCGAGGCCGATGGCGACTTGGTTGCCAGAGGACCAGTCGAGGAGGTTGAGGTAGTAGTCGTCAACAAGACCAGGGGCATCGAGGACGCGCTCGGGTGCAGATGGAATACGGCGGCGGCTCTGGGCGTTGACAGTGCTGGCGGGCTTGAGGGGGCGGTTGTATTGGGAGCGAAGGTCGATTGGCTTGGATGATTCTGGAGGCGCAGGCTTGAAGGCAAGAATACGTGTGTTGTTGTTGATGCCGCATGCTGATGCGAGTTCAGACTGGTAGGCAACCTTGCCGGGGGTGGCCTTTGATCGTGATCGGCCCTCGTCGTCGTCGTCCTCCAAACTCAGGCCTTCCAAAGAAAGCGCTGCATCCTCCTCGGAACCACGTCCACCGAGATCGAAAGCACTGGCGGCGTTGGCAAGTACTGCTGATCCCTCAACCTTGGAGCTGGACTTGGGGCGCTGCTCGTTATCAAGCTTGGTTGCGCCGGTGCTGCGGATGGCCTCGCTAGCCGTCCGGTTGGGGATGAAACGATCAGCAGAGTTGTATGCGATGCGAGTCTTGGTTGGGCGAGCGCGGACAGTCGTAGCTTCCTTCTTCTCCTTCTTCGCCTTAGTGGCAGCCTTGGTGGCAGCGGCAGTGCCGGTTCCGGAGAGGGACCATTCTGATACACCGAGCTCTAACCGGCGGGGAGTGTGTGAGCGAGCAATGTTGGATTTGGGAGAGTCACGGGTAGTCTTAGTGACAGAGCGTTGGAGGCGGGCCATGAAGTTGCCGCCATGGATAGACTCTTGTGTGTGGGCATCGGGAGTCTGAGTTCGTGGGGTGCGGGGAGAGGGAGTCAGTGGCATGCGACCGCCAGCGGTGCGGGTGTTGAAGACGGAAGAGGTCTTCTTGACTGGAGTCAAGCAAACTGCTGGAGTTGCCATAACTGCTAATCTCGAGCTGGACTAGTGGGTTAGCTAAGCGTTCATCATCCGTATCCGGAATGGTAGTCCTACAGTATGGGCTTTTGGGGACTGCTAGGTGGTTGTAAGGATTAGTATTATACAATGGTGTAATCGATGCTTTTGAAGTATGGATTCGAAAGTAGATGACTGATATGCAGTCTGAAGATGCAACACAGGAGCGAGGAGAGTGGTAGAGCGTGTGTGGTAGTGGACATGTGTGAAGGCAGGTATGGGGAGCGTTTAAGTATCCTTTGTTTACGCTTGCGTCGACGAGGCAACGGCAAGCGAGACCCTGTGCTGGCTCGACTGGGCAACGGAGGCAACGGAGGCCAGATGACATCACATGACCGGCGGTGCCACGGCGTGCGGAAATGACCGTGAATGCACACCCTGGCTGCTGCACATCAAGGAAGGCGGTCTGCATGTCGTGATGTCGCTCGCTCGCTTTGCCGCTGGCCTGTGACGCACCCCCTCCAATCTCGACCCTAAATTGCCCTCACTGCCCTCTCCCCGTCTGCACTGCTTACATACATATTACCACTCCCTGCCGCACTGCAGACGCTCTCTCCGCCCTGCCCGTGTGGTTCTTGCCCTCTGCTCCCTGTGCTGTGGCTGAGAAGGATTGCCTGCGCCGCCGTTCCTTCCGTGTGAGTCGCAGGGCTGAGTCGTGTCTTTTGGTGGGTCGGCGCTTCCGTTTCCAGTGCAGGCGGTGTCGGGCGGCAGTATGCACGGCTAACCAACCCAACCTGGTCAAACATTCTAGCACTCAACGTAGGGACAAAGGCGTCTCTTGCCCACGCGGGCCTTCACCACATACTCACCACCCAATAATCCTCACTCACTATCCATGGCTCACCTAGGCTCTCGATCCGCCTTCCCGCCCACCACCCTCACTCCCGCCACCACCTCTGCTCCCTCACCCGCCCTCTCCCACTCGCACACGCCCACGCCAGGATCCGCCGGATCGAGCAACAACACCTTTCTCATGTCTGCAAGCCCCGTGAGAAGCCGGAGGTCAGCCGTAGACGGCTACAAACCAAAGATGATCTCAACTATTGGTGCCAAGCCCGCATGCCTCGTCAATGCCTCAGTCACCTACGTTGGTGACGACCAAATATATGCCTTTGGAGGCTTCGATCAATACACAGACGAAGGTGCGTTGGACATGTAGCGGCAATTCTGGGTCCCAAAGACCTGCATATGTGCACGTTTGTGGGTGCGTAAGTAGTATGGGGGCTCGGTGCTAACTTTTTTCTTAGTATACAACCACGTCCTACGCCTCAATCTCATTACCCGGCAATGGAATCTGGTCGACAACTATGGCGATATCCCAGGCGTGCGAATGGGTAGGCTTTTCTTCCTTTGCTTCCGCATTAGACATTGTCTCACATCTCGATATAGGACACACCGCATGTCTTTGGCAGGGTAACAAGCTCCTCGTATTTGGCGGTGAGAACGAGCATCGCCAACATCTTGCCGACGTCATTGTCTTCGATCTCAAAACCGCTCATTGGACACAACCGGAATTGAACGGTCCCATACCGCGCGGTCGCGCTCGACACTCTGCAGTAATCTACGACGATAAGCTGTATATCAGCGGCGGCCAGACTGGGCACGACAGTGTCTTGGATGATATCTGCTACTTAGACTTGAAGACATGGACTTGGTCGCGAACATGGAGGTTCGTCCCTCGATACGACCATGCCAGCTGGATCTGGAATGGTCGCATTTGGATTTTCGGCGGAATCAATGACGAGATGGAGAAGAACAATGAGATTTGGTGGCTCGATCTCAAAGGGAGCCCTGAATTCGAGCACGCAATGAAGTATGGGACTGGTGATCGACAACTTACCTCATCTCGCCATCGCTATCCCGTGCCGGCTTCAGGCCAACTCGCCACTGGCAGTACAGGTTATACCGCCAACTCAAGCGTCCAGTCCTACCATGGCATGAGCTCCAGTCGCTCTCCGTACATTGCTCCGGGATCTATATCTTCGCTCAAGTTCCATTCCAGCCCGAACCTACCTTCACAAGCGGCGGGCACGCATTTCCACCTTTTTTCATCTGGTTGCATGCTGGACTTCGTCACACCTGCTGAGCTGAGTTGTGAGACCAGCCTTTCCAGCCTTGAGCTTGACTCGTTGCGATGGCAAAAGCTAGCTGAGGGAAAAGATTTATACAGCCCAAATTACCGCTGGCACTATTGCACAATGAATCCCGAAGGTACACACGCCTGGCTGCTGGGCAGCCCAATTGAATCGGCAAATGATGGAAACCACAACGGCGAATATCTCAGCGACGTACTTGCCATTGACCTTCGCAAATATGGCATCCTGGGTAATGAACTGGCTTCTGACACACGCTCCAAGATGATGCCTTCCTCCGACGCCAACGTCTCGTCTCACCTCAGTGGGATTGGTGCGGACCTGTCCTTGACTTTTGATCAGCCACCTGAGAGCGGCAGCGGTGCAGATTTCATAATCACCGCAGATCCCGACGACGATGACTATAGTGACATCGCCGCAGCTGATTCCAACGGTTCATCGACTGCTGTCGCACCTACTTCACGCCCAATACACGTTCACAAGCTCATTCTGCACGCACGCTGGCCACATTTTGCGCGATTGTGGAATGCACAGATGGCCGAATTCCATTCGAAAAAGATGCATATCCCCGAACCCTATTCTGCAGTCCGCGCTTTCTTGTTCTACCTCTACACCGACAGCATTGCACCTAACCCACAGAACGGCCCGACGCTGAACGATGTCGCCGGCATGCTCGTCATGTCCAACATCTACGACATGCCTCGCCTCCGCCTACTCTGTGTTAATCGCCTAGGCCGAGAGCTGGACATTGAACATGCAGCCATAATATGGGAGCGCGCCGCTACCGCC